GATCAGGCCGAAACCCGCTCTCCAACATTCCCCAAGGGGTCCCAGATTGCGAGAGGGCACAGGCCAGGCTGAGGGACCCTGTTGGTGCACGATCGGGGCCAGGGAGGGATGTGGGAGATTGGCTAGCCAGGGAGGGACTGCAGGAGGGCTCCAGGGCGTGTCCAGCCATCTCACTCAGTTCCAATCAGCCAGACCCCAACAACAAGCTAACCTACCGGTCAGATCATCTGTCTCCTGGTGGTCAGTGCATGCCATAGCAACTGGTCAACTGATATTATACAGGATTAGTTATGAAGATAGTATGTAAGCAAAACCCACATTTAAGGCTTATGATTGGCTCCTTTTTCTAGAATTATACTTAGAATATAAGACTCTTAAATGAGGGAGGAGAGGGTGTCTAATTTATCTTTCTCCAGTTTTTAGCTCAGTGCCTGGCATATTAGAGGAGCTTGATAACTGTCAAATGAAAAGTAGTTGAAGAGTCCTACAGGGAAGGAACCTGAGAAAGGATACATTTTTCTCCTATGGGGAAATGTACTGAAACACCAGGAGAAACAAAGGTACCAGCAGTTAAAGGTACCAGCTGTTATATTGTTAGCAGAAACTATCCTACCAATCATTTCTTCTCTTGAATAAACGTATTATCTATACTATACTAGATATACACTGGTTTTAATGCAAGTATATGTATCCCAGTCATGTGGCATTTAAAATATGCTAGGTAACAGCTTACTACAAACTTAAATAAATCCAAACAGATGGCAGTAGAACTCCGATTTTTTTTCAAATATTATAATTCTGAAAGTTCCTCAGTATCCAGCAGTCCTAACATAATTTCCACCTGACAGCTCATCTATTATCTGTGGCCTGTTTTTTCTAATTCTTATCTATGCAGATGACTAGAAAGGCTGAGATATCAGTCCAAAACTAACAAAATAAAGTTTAACGACAAACAACATAGAAAATCTTGAGCAACAAGAAAATAGCCAGCAAGGTCAAAGTAAATTATGAACAGATGATAATATTATTTATCCCACTGAGAGACTAATCATCCAAGACTAGTTTTAGTAAATAAACAGGAGAGTAAAAAACAACAAACAAACAGGTAGAATGAGATGATTTGCTTTTATATGGTCCTTTGGAAAGAGATCTATGTTTCAAATTAAATGTTGATGATGTATCTAAAAGCAAAATATATGAACAACTTGGTCTAAAAAGCACTCATCACTGACAAGAAATTATTTGTCAGTGGAGGGAAAACAAGGTAAAACTTTTAATTAGCAATACGTAGATTAAAACAAAACTGTTTTAAACATTTTAGACCACAACTTATACTCAAAACTATGCCAAAGATAATTCAAGTTAAAAAAAGCAACAAAAAAGTTACCTATTTTTCCACAAATGAGAACACTTTCAGTAACGGTTAATATTTTATTCTGTAGACAAACCTTTACATTTTCTTTTATATATAATAATCAATCTGTTTACTTACCTATGATTTCTATTTTTCTAATTTAACATGATTTTAAGACAAAATAATTTCTACTACAAATTTTCTCCAAATTGGAGGTTCAATTTCCTGTTCTAAAGTTTCAGGAAACTAAATGGTTCGTATTTGTCAAACATAAAAAGACTAATCTTAGCCCTGGCCTGTTTGGCTCAGTGGATAGAGCGTTGGCCTGCGGACTGAAGAGTTCTGGGTTCAATTCTGATCAAGAACACATGCCCGGGTTGCAGGCTTGATCCCCACAAGGGGGCGTGCAGGAGGCAGCCACTCAATGATTCTCATCATTGATGTTTCTCTACCTTCATCTCTGAAATCAATAAAAAAAAAAAAAGACTATTCTTATAGCTCCAACTTTTAAAAAGTATATATTTAATAATTTAAATCCAAGGTACTTAAATTTTTTTCTATAGAGATAATAAATCAACAAGGTTCAAGTAAACCATGCTACCAAATTCTGAGTAGATACTATTTTACCATGCTACCAAGAGGAACTTCAGTATATTATTTAAAGAACAGAGAGGCCCAAACAACTAACATATTCTGCTATCACCCAACATAAACTGTATACTAGAAATTCTAAAGCATTAAAAAAATGAGAGGTATGAGAAACATTACTTCAAAGAGACTACAAATGATAAAAAGATGTGATGATAAATAATAAAACAAATAATTCCAAATAAAGGTACTTGGGAAAGGAAAAAAAGATCTTAAAATTGCCAGGTCATATATCATTGCTTATAAAAAAAAACCCAAAAACTTTTAAATAGATATTTAAATGTTTTAAACTACTATATTTAATATAAGTTATAGGAATCATTTTCTTGACTTCACCATTAAATGGGCATAACAAGCAAAGTGATTAACTGATAGAGAAATCACCCACATCACTTAAAAAGCCAAGACACCAAAATAAAATAAGCAAATAGTGTTAATCTGTAAAATTTAAAGGCTATGAAGAAAGCTATATTTACCTTATCGAAATACTTATAAATCATATTCTGTCTACTCCTTAAAAAACAAATGAGGAAGATGCTTAAGTCTTAGGAGTCAGGCAAAGTTTTCCTTAGAAGTCATTTTCTTAACATCGATGAAATGTCACTTTCCTTGTCAGTGGCAACAGAATCATCACTCTAAAGTCAGGAAATGGAGGTGGAAAGGTACCTCTTTCCATCGACAAAGATCCAGGAGCAGTAGGCCATGATTAAATGAAGCAAAAAGAAGGGACAGCCAGGCAATCAACCTACTGGGGCCAATCCATTAGCTCCCAGTGCAGGAAAGGAGTGTCTGATTGCTGGGCAAGAGCTACATATAGCCTGCTTTTCTGCACAAAAGCCAGGGTGTGGTAGGAACAAAAGGGATTTTTTTAAAATTAAATAATTCAGCCAACTTCAGACGTGGTAGCTGAAATCAGACAGAAATGGCAAGAACTTAGGGTGAAGAAGAAAAAGAATAACCGGGACAGTAAGCAATAAACACTGACAATGAAAACAGAGACGAGACAGAAGATGGGCTAGCTGCACAGCAATGCCAGCTGAATACCAAAGCTAAGCCCGACAAGGATCTTATAAAGAACTTTGACCGTACATGGGGGAGGACTACCAGCAACTGTACACCCATTAGGCCCCCAAGTATGCCTCAGGGAACAGCATGGTAGAGAAATACCAAATTTGCTTAGAAGCAAAACAATGGCTAGCGGTAAGGAGTAAAATGGCCATGGAAAGCTGCTGCTGCTGTTGCCATTCAGAAAGACTTTTATTCATGATTATATTTTAACTATTTTCAACTATGCAAAACCCAATTCAGGTATCTGTACATCTAAGAAGCTGATCCTAATCAAACAAAACCACAACATGAACTTGATCCACAGATACTTATACCTTAGTCACATGCACCAATGTCTGAAACCTGAATTTGGTATTTTATTTATCAAAGATTCTATTATCCATCAGTGGTTTTATTTTCTTTACTATAGAAATGCTCATTATCCACCTCCTCCAATGTTTATTTAGGCTGGTACTCTACCATAATCTAAAGCAGTGGTTCTCAACCTTCCTAATGCCGTGACCCTTTAATACAGTTCATGTTGTGGTGACCCCCAATTTCATTGTTACAAATTGAACATAATCAAAGCATAGTGATTAATCACAAAAACAATATGTAATTATATATGTGTTTTCCAATGGTCTTAGGTGACCCCTGTGAAAGGGTGATTCGACCGCCAAAGAAGTCGCGACCCACAGGTTGAGAACCGCTTATCTAAGGTTTATGTTATGCTGGCATTTCCAAATCAATTGTAACCAAGTGATACACAGTGTCCAGAAAAATAAGTAGTACAACCTCAAAACATCTCTAACTAGCAAAGCAGAAGCAACTTTAGACTGGGAGACCTGGAGATGCTTGACTAATAGTGAGACAACAGCTTTAAGAATTCCTTTTAACTTGGAATTGGTTTTAATATATTTTTTTAAATCATGTTATATTTGTGTGTGGCTTTTTTTCGTTGGTAGTGGTAGGTTTTTTGTAACTGTTTAATAGCTTTTTAATTTATTATATTGTATTTTTTTTTTTATTAAATAATCAAGTCCTAGCCGGTTTGGCTCAGTGGATAGAGCATCGGACTGCAGACCAAAGGGTCCAAGGTTTGATTTTGGTCAAGGGCATGTACCTTGGTTGCAGGCTCCTCCCCTGGTTGGGGCTTGTGCAGGAGGCAACCAATTGATGTGTTTCTCTCACATTGATGTTTCCCTCTCTTCCACTCTCTCTAAAAATCAATGGAAAAATATCCTCAGGTGAGGATTTAAAAAAAAAAAAGGAAGTACTTTCACCATAGCTGGTTTGGCTTCGTGGACAGAGTGTCGGCCTGCAGACTGAAGAGTCCTGGGTTTGATTCCGGTCAAGAGCACGTGCCCGGGTTGTAGGCTCGGTCCCCATTAATGTTTTTATATCTCTCTACCTTTCCCTTCCTCTCTAAAATCAATAAAAATATATCTTAAAAATAATAATAATAATTAAAAAATATGCCCTTAAAGACATTTTCAAAGGTTCCATCACTAAAAATGTCATAAGAATAAAGTGGGAAATTCCAGGTACTCAAAGAGAGAATTCAATTTTCCAAATTAATTCTGGAAAATGTTAAATCTAGAAGTGATTTATATGTTTATTTAAAATCATATGGAGTATTTTAGCACTAAAAGGTTAAAACTTACATTAGCGTTTTTTTTCTTCAATTCAGTTCATAAGTAACTATTTTAATCACTGTATTTATGACTGTGTACTAACAGAGTAACTCAAATATCCTAAGCAGATATAACCTCAGAGAGCAAAGCAGTATCACGCATACCCTTGGCTTGGTGAGTTCTTCTGTTACATTATTTACCTACAGATAAAATATCTAAAGAGGGTAATACTCTTAGCACTTATTATTCTGCTTGAAATAAGGGTGAAAAAGAACCCAGAAACAAATAGCAAGTTCTACATGAGATCCTCTACCTACAAAATTCAGTGTTTCTTTCCTGAAGTCTTGAGCTGTCCATATGCACATATTGCTGCTTCTGAATTACAAGCTGATTACATATAAAATCATTCTGTAGGAGAAAAATGGTGACATTTTATGATGTTAAATTAGAAAGGCTAAACTGAGGGCATATATAAAAGTTCTCTAGAATAAGTTGTCATTGTATATATATTCTGCCCAACTTATGACTATAAAAATCCAGCACTGCGAAAGAACAAGGGGCATGCCAGGGATGCACAGCGAGTACGGGAGGATCAGAGACTGGCATGTCGTTTAGGAGGGCTGTGAGGAGGAACGACCTGCTCCAGGCCTCCTGGACTGAAGAGGCGCCAGTGTGTGCCAGTTGTCCCCTAGCAACTCTATTCTGCTCATCCCCATTATTCCCCAACCAAATCAGTTAGGGTTATTTGTAATCCATTATTCCATGCAAATGCAGATGTCAAGGAGAAGGGGAGAAACTGGCTACTCTATGAAGACTTGTAATTTATGGAAATAATTTTGAAATTAATCATAAACTCGTAAAAAAATATGTCCACATCATATATAATTACATTCCACGTTATGTAAACCAGAAATAAATCTATCTCTATATTATCAAGAAACATATTTAACTCCTTAAAAAATAATCAAAATCAACATTCAAAGACAGACTAGTTCTATTTTAAAATTATCCAATTTATACTTAAAATGTAATTCTAAACTTATACTTAAAACAAAAATATTCCCTGTAGTAAAAAATAAATGTTTACTTTATATCTAAAATTATAATGTATTCTAATAAACAGATACTTTAGAAATAATAGATCAGATATCTAAAAATCATTTATGATAGAAAAGTAAAAGAAAATCAAAAGAATGTGCTAGAAATCTTTTCAGCACAGCTTAGGAGCAAACTAATGACTACAGATAACGAGCAAAACTGCCATGGAAAGCTGCTGCTGTTGTCATTCAGGCAGACTTTTATTTTGCTTTTGTCCATGATTATATTTTAACAATTTTCAACTAAAATATTGTCACTCATAAAAATTAATTTTAATTTAAGTCCAAACAAACAAATGTTAAGAAGACACAAAGTCAACTGTGTTTTCATGTTTTTATTTGGTGTGAAACATCTTAGAACCATATTTTAGGTAATTAAAGCCTCTATGTTAGGTAAGTAAAAGGCAGTCTTTACCAGCATGATTCAATAAGGACAACTTGGTTACCTGCATAAAGATTTTTATTCAAAATCTTTTCACATTTGTAGATCACATTGCAGAAGATTTACCTTCCAAATGGCATTCTATTTGGTCTCTTATTGACTGAAGGTTAAATAAATTGCTGTTACTTGAGCAATTTTCATTCTCTGGCACAAAGAGCCAAAAAATTATACATGTCACAACAAAATCTACAGGTCACATGTGAATGCGAATCTTTCTTTATGTGAAAATTCCTTTCTAAAGAAAGTATAAGAAAACACTGACACCAAGCCTGTTGATTAAAGGGGGTCTATTATAACTAAAACATTAAGTTAAGATAGCTTGGCACATAATTAGCAGGTAAGGATATTCTCTTATTAGCTAGTCAATGATAAACAGTGAATAAACCAGTTTCTGGCTATAAAGATGTTTACTTTTCCTTTTGTACACGTACATCAAAAAATATACTATGAGACTAAATCAAGTTCCTAAATTCAGGGGGGGAAATAATCAAATTTTAAATGTTTCACCTTCAATATATGATCATATAAAAAAAAATTCTCAAAAATGTTTCTCTACTAGCAAAGGGAAAAGGTCAACATCCTATTTCATACCTATCTTTTCTTTCATATAAGAAATACACATTTTTTAAAAAGCTAAACCCAACAATAAATGCTCCAAGAGAAATTAAAACAAGAATTATACTTCAGCAACCCTAATTTCAACAAATAAAAGTGTTTTTCACAGAAACTTTAGAAAAACACCTGGCAAACATAAGCTCATTGGCTGCAACAGCCTTGAATGCCAACATTCTTTAAACTAATTTCATGCTGGAGACATAAACCAAGAGAGATAAAATTACTAAATAATTCATTTATGTTGAAAAATGTGCTTTGGTGCAAGGAACAACACTCAACCAACTGGAGAACATTATGCTAAGTGAAATAAGCCAGTCAGAGAAAGACAAGGACCACATGATCTCACTCATTTGTGAAATTTAATGAGCAAACTAAACTACCAAGGAAATAGAGACAGACTCATAGATAGAGAGCAGGCATACGCTGCGGGGGGAGGGCAGGAGGGACTCGAAGGCAGAGTGGAGGGATTGAGCAAAAAAGAAAAAAAGAGAGAGAACTCATGGACATGGACAACAGTGTGGGGATTGCAGGGTGAGGGGTGTGGAGGTGGAAGAGGACATAGAAGGGATAAATGGTGATGGAAAAAATAAAAAAGGAAAATGTGGCTTGGGTTGAAGCGAAAAAAAGTGGGGAAACCCAGTGGGTTATTCCATATTTTACTGACAGACTTGCAAGGATTTTCCTCCTGCTGAACAGATAAAAACTACTTTGAGTGCCTTCTGCTGATCCCATTCTTTTTGCATTGAGGTTATGAACAAAGTAAAAATGTTTTCAGCCCACCAAATGTTGCCAGCGCTAGCTCTGAAATCTATCCTAAATCCATCTACCTCCTTACTTTTATAGCTGTGGTCCAAGCTACCAACCATCTCTAGTCTAGACCACAATGAGAACTTACAGAAACAGTCTTCTTCCTTTTACACTTACCCCTGTGCAATCCATTCTCCACAGAGTAGCCTAAACAATCTTTTTAAAACACAAATCAATCCTTGTCATTTCCCTGTTTTAAAAAATTTCTCAATGGCTTTCATCTCATCTTATAAGAGTCAAATGCAGCCTATGCAATTGGATGTCTGCCAAACTCTCCTTGCCCACTTTTTTCACGCTGGCCTCATTCCATTCTTCAAGTTAGTGTTTCTCAACCTTGGCACCACCGGTACACTGGGCAAGACAGTTGTTCATTGTGGGAACTACCTGCATTGTAGGATGTTTAGCAGCATCCCTCGCCTCTACCCACTAGGTGCCTGTAGCACCATCACCCCCAGTTGTCACATAACAATATGTTTCCAGACATTTCTTTTAAAGAAGCCAAGCTCATTCCTGCTCCTGGTCTTTTACCCTCTCATTCCCTCTATGTGAAATAATTACCCCCAATACTTGAGCTCTATGACTGGTTCCTTTCATTCTTATCTCAACTTAGCTGTGCTGGTCTACTCAGAGAGGCCAGCTCTAATCATCCTACATAAAGTTGTGCCCACTTCCATCATAGCTACAGCCCAACACTTAATAGAGTACAGAGTAAGTGCTCAAAACATAGTCACTGAGAAAATACATAAATGTCAGTATTTATGAGAAAATGCTTAAGTGGTAAGATGATAATAGTTATGTATAATGCCACAACAGCACCTGGATATTCTCCTATACTGTATTTGCTTCATCTTTCAAATGTATACTAGTACAGTGGGGCCTTGACTTACGAGTGTCCCGACTAACAAGTTTTTCGAGATACAAGCCGTCTCTCGGCCGATTTTTTGCTTTGATTGCGAGCTAAAATTCGGGTTACGAGCCAGCTTTAGATACCCCACCGCTAGTTGGCGCAGCAAACGTCACAGTGAATGCCACAACATCAGCCCAGCATCACGTGTCTCACTCATTCACTTTAAGATTTGACATACGAGTAATTTGAGTTACGAGCTCCGTCACCGAACGAATTAAAGTCGTAAGTCAAGGCCCCACTGTACATCCTAATGCACCATTAATTCTTTCTGGTAATATTATTGTCAGTTATAGGGAATGTACATTTGCTCATTGTGCATTAACAAAAATAGTCCAAGGCCAGAGCATGCTTCCACAGAGTGGGAACAGAGAGGCATTTGAACTGTTCAGAAGATGTTATGCTGCTGAAAGCACTGAACATCCAACTTCCGGCTAAAAATAGCCATGACAAAGGATCCTGGTTTGTTCCATCATGTACATAAATGGCTCACCATTTTTATCTAAGCAGTCACTTTTTCATTTATCTTGTTTTAAGTGGACACACAAAGGTCAATACTTTCAATTTTTTTTTTAATGACAGAAAAACATGACTTCAGTTATTTCAAAAGCAAACAGCTATAATGAATAAAAAGGAAATGTGAGAGTTAAATCTTAATCACTTTGTGTTTTTGTGTGAACTAGTAAAATCCAGTCAGGTGAACCCTATGCTGAGTAATTAAACCTGGCAAAATTGTAGTCTCTGATCAGAATAGTTCAACTGGATTTCATTAATTCTATAAAGGTTGGTTCACTCATGTCACAGGGGGCCTTTTATTACTTCTGGAGATGTGTTTGATACCAGCACTTTGAATACATATACATTTCTTCGGAAAATTAATACAGTTTTTAAAAAATTATGTCATTGCTCTGAACTGCTAAAATATATTTCAAGATATTTAAAATAATAAACACACAATGCAGTGTACAGATGATGTGTTGTGGAACTGTGCACCTGACACCTGTATAATATTGTTAACCAGTGTCATCCCAATAAATTCAATAAAAAGGGAAAAAAAATTTTAAAAATTTAAATATAAATATCACTGATTTTAAAAACTATCATTCATCAGAACAATTACATAAGAACTTCTGGACAAGTGAGACCTCGCAGACCAGTGTGTGAGTAGGAGGAGAACCGGCACATACCAGTTGTGCACCATGAGTTTCTGCACAGCCAGGAGAGCGTTGTAGCGAACCTGCTGGTCTTCGTGGTGCATGTGGTTCATCACCAGCTGCTTCCCACCAAGCTGCTCAATGACCCTGCGGAATAGAAGCCACTTTGTGAAGAGATACTGCAATTACTTTCAAACTCATGCTGTTAGTCAGCAGAAAGCCCAAATCCCTAGGAAAGTTACAATACACATAAGTAAACCAACACATGCCTTTTTTCAATCATTTTCTCCAAATCATAGTTTTAAGGCATTCAAATATTTCTTTTGAATTTCTAAGAATAAATCTAATTGCTATTCTCCTTTCCCAATCCAGGCAAGTTTCACCTACCTGAATATCTCACATAATATTCCCGGTTATAGTTTTCTAGGTAGTTGAGTATCAACTTCTTTATTTTTAGTATTTCTGGCCTGCTTAAAATCAATATATTGAATATAATCTAATATCCATAATAATATCAATCAATATTAAGGTCACCAGTGGCTGTGCTGTGAGACAGATATGGGCTCAAGTACATATTCCAGGGAACACAGAGTTAAAAGCACCCAGTAGAAGCCATGTTAATTTCCTGAAAAGGACTACTGATTTTTAAGATATCTGCTCTTTCTTGTAACAATGGGATCTACCACATGACCTCCTGGGCAGTGAACCAGAGGAGGAAAATTCCTCTTGTCAAGAGCACCGTGATGACTGACAACCAGCATTGCTTTCTATCACTGCACCTGACACCCTAAAAACTCCAGTTACCACAGATGTAAAAGTGAAGTGATTATGGTTATTTCTTTCATGAATGGAAAGAGATTCTCTGTTCCTCTGCAAGGACGTGGCTGTGGATAGAGCTGTAGTGTCTCTTAACTCCAGCACAGCAGTGTGGAGTCTCCAGTCTGTAGTGCCCAGTGGGAGATATAACTATTACATAGCCAGTGACAAGTGACAGTAATAGGGCTTTGGTAGTTTAAGACAACCTCACAGACGGATGGATGGGGATCAAAGATGAGAGAGAGGCTTTTATGTTTATATCTTTTTATACCTTATTTTTTAAATCATCCTTTTTTAATGTACTGAATTGAGGGGGGGAAAGTACAGTATAATTATTACCAAACATTAATTGAGTGCTTGTTATGTGCCAGGTACTGTGCTTTAAAACATTACTTTAATACGTATATCAGCTCTGCTCTCTATCAGATATGTTACATTAGGGGAGCCATTTAACCATGTAAATGCCTTCTTGCCACATGAGAATAACAAGAATGCCTCCTTTATGGCGCTGCTGTGAAGACTAAGGACATAAAGCCCATGTCTACTGCCATGAGGAGGAGGAGGAGGAGGATACAGGGGCTGCTCCCCTTCAACCCAGTCCAAGTGACCTTCCAAAAATCTGCATTATCACTTGTTCTGCATAAAACGCTGGCTGACAAGGCCCTTCACAGTCTGACTTGGGACCTTCTCTCGCTTCATAGAGCCCGGGCCTACACCCTGGACTCTGTGCACTGACTCCACTGGCCCCCTTTCGGGTCCTCCAGCCACAGAGTTTTGGAAAACACTGTCTTCTGTTCCTGAAGCTGTCCCACTCCTCTTCATGTAGTTTTCAACTAGAGGCATGGAAAGATTATCGTCACTGGATAAATTTTAAAGGGACTATGAGGAATAAACACAAAGTCATTAAGTCACTCTAAATTTTTTTAATCCTCACCCGAGGATATGTTTTTATTGATTTTTAGAGAGAGAGGTAGAGAAAGGGAGAGAGAGAGAAACATCTATCAGTTGCTTCCCCGTACATGCCTGACTAGGGATCAAACCCATGACCTGGGTATGTGCCCTGACCGGGAATCGAGCTTTCGGTGCATAGGACAATGAACCAACTGAGCCACACTAGCCAGGGCCATAAAGTCATTCTTATTTCACCACAAACTGCTTATTCAACTGACCGTGTTCATGTGTATGAGCTACTTTGAGGGGTTGGCAGGACTGGCTTCTTACCTTTCCTCTTTAGCTTAACATCCCTGTCTCCCCCTGCCCTTGCTTACTCCTCCAGGGTGGACCTCTGTAATTGGGGAGTTTGGAAAAAGGAATCCACAGCACAGATACACCCCCTCCTTGCTCTTCCATGTCAGTCCAGTGTTCCCTGGGATTAATGGGTTAGTCCAATTCTGAGTTCAGTATTAGGAAGGCCATCTGTGTATTGTACATATACCACGTTTTTCAATATTGGCTTTATCAGTAAGATTTCTACTTTGGCCTCCATTTGTTATCTCCTTTGACATGTTTCTCAAATAATTTAGAATTTAGGCAGGCAGGCAGGAGGGGCATTATTTATTGGGCCCCTTCTGGACACCTCCAACACATGGAGATACAGTTGATTCTCATTATCCACAGTAGTTATATTCTATACAGTCATCACTAACAATGATTTAGTTAATACTAAAATCCTAGGGGAAATCCAAGGTTAGGTTCCTCCAAGCCTCTGGTCACAACACTGCCATTAACCTATCAATACATAACCTTGTTTTATGTGTGTCTGTGTAAAGACAACTTACTTTATATATTATTAATTCATTAGCACTGAACTCATAGCCAACAGCACCATAACTCATGCCTGAAGGAAGCTTATCTAATACACATATTTTCTCTGTAAGGCATATCACAGCCTTCTTCTGCTGAGGACTCTACACAGCACTTCAGCCCTTGGCTCAGAGTTAGTGAAACAGTGAAATCACCAACAAAGTGCACAAAAATACAAAAACCATGACACTAAACAGACCACATAAGGAATACTTGTTTACAGTACAAAGCTAAAACAAGAAGGCAGAGTATCGCCTTGTTTGCCTTCAGCTGGGAATGTGTGAATCAGGTGACTCAAATTTTGCTCTGTACACGTCCACCAACAATTGTGAAAGCATGAAGTATTGATTTGGGGGTTAGAAAAGAAATTTTAAAAAAGTAGGCAAATTCACAAATCTAGAATTCATAAATAATGAGGATCAACTGTATATGAATCAGTATAATCTCAGAAAGGTACCATTTTAGTGAAACTAAAAAACACAGAGATCACACACCATTGATGATGACGATGACAGCAATTTTTTTACTTGTTGGGCAAATGCTAAATGCTTCCTATATTTTCTCGCATGAAATCTTCACAACAAATGTACTGCCTATCCCTCTAGAAAGTCATGGTTTTTGACATTTTAAACCCTTGCCCCTTGTATCTGGTCATATTAACACCAGCCAAGAAAATTTTAAAAATTTGCTTTTAATAATTTATTACTATATTTATTTACTACACATTCATTTTTAAACTATACATATTACTGTCCTCCACCCAAGATTCCAGTGGGTGTCAAAGAGGAATAAACAATCTCCACTCCACTGAAACACATTGCTATAAAAATAAAGACATTCCCCCCTTCTAAATTTAAGATTCAAATGAACCACCAATTACTTTCAGATTATACAGATGTCCAAAATCATAAATGCTTGAAAAAGTGATGAAAAAGAATCTTTCCAGTTGGCAGATTAAGACAAGATATCATTAAAAAGGCCAGATATTTAGGTAATTTAATTTAGAGCTGCATTCTAGTACTTTAATAGCCACTGCCTAATAGAAAAAACCTTGCTAAACATATTTCAAAACAAATCAAGTCAATAACATGTTAAGCTTTAAAGACTTGTAATATTATAATACACTATTAACAAGCTCAACACTGGTAATAACATTTAAAGAATGTACCAGCTGGTGAAACAGAGAAACGTAATTTTAGAGTAAATTCTTCAGATATTCTAAAAAGCACAGCACTAATTTTTTTTGTTGTAAATGTCTTTTTCCCTATTAATATGGTTCTATAATATGATATAAAATATAGTTTAATATCAGGTAGGTAGCAAAATCTTGGCCATTTCTCATAGCAATATTTTTTCTTATACAGTGCCTTGGGCAAGGGAAGCAAAAGAAAAAATAAACAATTGAGACTACACCTAAAAAGTTTTGCACAATAAAGGAAACCATCAACAAAATGAAAATAAACCCACTGATGGGAGAACATATCTGCCAATGATACATCAGATAAGGGGTTAATATTCAAAATTTATAAAGAACTTATGCAAGTCAACACCAAAAGAAAAAAAAAAAGATCCAATTAAAAAATGGGCAAAGGACCTGAATAGACTTCTCTAAAGACGACATATGAAAAAATGCTCAATGTCACTAATTATCAATGAAATGCAAATATTAAATACAATGAGATATCACCTCACACCTGTCAGAATGGTTATCATCAATAAATCAACAAACGAAAGTGCTGGCAAGGATGTGCAGAAAAGAGAACCCTCGTGAACTACTGGGAATGCAGACTGTGCAGCCACTGTGGAAAACAATATGGAGTTTCCTCAAAAAATTAAAAATGGAAGTACATTTTAACCCAGCAATCTCACTTCTGGAAATATATCCTAAGAAAACTGAAACACCAATCAGAAAGAATATATGCACCCCTATGTTCACTGAGCATTATTTATAACCGGAGGCCTGGTGCACGAAATTTGTGCACTTGGGGGGGGGGGGCACCCTCAGCCCGGCCTGTGCCCTCTTGCAGTCCAGGAGCCCTCAGGGGATGTCTGACTGATGGCGGGGAGTGGGTCTAAGCCGTCAGTTGGACATCTGTAGCACTGCCATGGAGGTGGAAGAGGCTCCCGCCACCGCCACTGCGCTTGCCAGCTGTGAGCCTGGCTCAGGGCTTCTGGCTGAGCAGCACTCTCCCTGTGGGAGTGCACTGACCACCAGGGGGAAGCTCCTGCATCTGCCCCCAGCACATCATAGCAGCCAGTCGTTCAGCCGTTCGGTCAATTTGCATATTAGCCTTTTATTATAAAGGATAACCAAGATCTGGAAACAGTCCAAGTGTCCATCAGTAAATAAAAAGCTGTGGTGCATTTACATAGTGGAATACTACTACTTGGCCTTAATAATAGAAGAAAATCTTATAGCTTTTGCGACAACACGGATAAACCTGGAAATTATTATGCTAAGTAAAATAAGCCAGTCAGAGAATGACAAATACCATAAGATTTCACTTATATGTGGAATCTAATCAACAAAATAATTTAACAAACAAAATAGAAATAAAAGCATAGATAACAGACTGACAGCAAATTCTGCTTCAGGTGAACTGTCATAATTTTTTGGAATCCATCAATATAAGGCAGCCTGAGCTACAACAAATCAGATATTTTTAAAAAACAAGGTAAAGGTAAAAAATAATAGGCTGCATGGACACTTTGGGAGAAAAGGTAATTTCTCTGCTTGAAGGAATACCTCTCCATCTAGTCATTGACATGATGTTAGATGATCCTATATAATAAAAGCCTAATATGCAAATTGACCAAACAGCGGAACGACCGGTCGCTATGACACGCACTGACCACCAGGGGACAGACGCTCAATGCAGGAGCTGCCCCCAGCCCACAGGCCGCAGGCCAGCCAAGGCGGGTGCCAGCGGGGCTCCCAAATCACCCCGCTGGTCACCCCACAGATTGACTCTGATGGCTGGCCAGGCTTAGGGACACTACCCATGCATGAATTTCGTGCACTGGGCCTCCAGTGTTTAAATATTTATACACAATAAGGACAAAGCAGTCATGAAGTAATTATGGAATGTGAAAGTCTGCAACTACAATGGTGGCTCTGCCAATTTTCCCTCACATTCTAAGATGTTCTGGGTTTATGTGATAATTTTTTATGATAAACAAGATAAAGATGTCTTCCTTATATATAGCTTTAATGAATATAAAATATTAACATCAATAATAATAAAACTAGCTAATACTTATTGAGAACTTACTATGTACCAACAGCACTGTTCTAATCACTGTATTTAGATTAACTCATTTAATCTTCATATCACCCTCCTCAGAAAGGAATATGATTATCATCCCAATTTTATAAATTAGGAAACCAATTAGCAAGTGGAAAAGGAAAAATTCAAACCAAGGTACTTTTCCAAACAACACAAAACAGCCCTTTGTCCAATTTAATGCCTTATCCCTTCTATTGGCACCTTGATCTCTTATTTTTCAAAAGAAAAAAAATCCTATCTTTTCATTGTTAATGAAGCTAAGTGATTTTAAATTGAGGTCAGCCTCACCTCCTCTGTAAAACCTTACCTGTCTCCTCCCACATGAAATTTCTTTAATACTTTTAAATACATACATTAATTCCATTATCATACATCTCCTATAACTTTTCTTTCAGGTGTTATATTTCCTTTTATACTTTAAACCTGCTGAGTTCAAAGTTAGTATAAACAGTAATTGAAAAATAACCATAGCTCATAAAATAGCTATTGAATTAAATCATATAAACCAAAGAAAATCTTCAATATGAAATTTCTGTGATCTCTATTGGCTACTACACTATAGTAGTATACAGGTGTACTTATATTTTTATACTACCCATTTTAATTAGGTTTATCATAATTCCCAGTATTATGGTAATCTTGACTCCGTTAATTCCTCTGCTAAACTACCCTATTTTAGACAAGTACATTAGGATTCTATGTTGACTGTTTCTGAAAACCCAAAAGATATTAATGGCTTGTCTGTTACCGTTTGCCCCGTGGATAATGCCGCACATATTCCCCAACATCATGAGCAGCAACAGCTAAGACTTGTGGATCATCTGATACTTCCAGAAGTTTTGTCAAAATTCTGAAATAAATTTAATGCAAAAAGGTATCAATTTTTGATTCTTCTATAGAGCACAACAGAGCACAGGTATAACAAGGATATCTTCCCAAAAATAAACATTTTTTTCAAAATATGTATGAATCTATGAAGCTTGCTTACTAAGTTTCTGAAGCATCACTTAAGACTGTGGCTCAAGGTTTCTCTGCCTACCTTTTTCTATCACATGTCAACCTGTCAAATAGCTAAACTGTATAAACAACAGGAAGTGCTGATAAAGAACCTTTTGTCAATCCAGGAATCATTTCATTTTAAAGTAATTCCACACTTCTTCTAGGCTAAGTGGGCAATCTGCATTTCCAAAAACTGCATCTCCTCTCAGTTTTAATTTATATGGCTTTCTTAAATTACTTCCTTTATCTTTGTATGACCCTTTGTGATTTTTCCGAATAACCAGAAACAATGGCATGTGGCACTATAGTCTTATTCTATGCTAATGTGATGAGAAATTTGAAGTTGTTGCTTGTATTTAGTTTTCATTCCCTTAAAGTATCTGCATGGGGATGATTGACAGGAGGGTCATACTCATGCTGTCCTTCATACTAGCTGATAAAATAGGTACAGATGGAGAGGAGTAAGTAAGTCTTACTCCTTAAGAGTAAGAGAGGAGAAAGGAATGAGCATTTACTATACACATGCATGTTCCAAACTCTGTGTAAATCATATTCCTCACAGCAATCCACAAATGAGGAAATGAGAGCCAGAGAAGTTAGGTAATCTGCTAAGGACACAGCAAATGTTGAAACTGAGATGTGAACTATTACTTGCTGACTCTAGCCCACACAAAGCACAAGCACACCCTGGTGGCAGTTCATTCAGCCCAAGCACAGGAAAACCCACTGGGGAAAAGCAAGAAATACATTCAATCACCCACACATTTATATTTTTTAAATTTCAAACTATGTTCTTTTTAAAAGGCCAACTTGCAAATTATTCTGAAATTAAGTTTAATTCAACTGAAACAACTCAAATGATTTCAAAAGATTAAATTATTTCAATGACATTTTACTTTGACATTTTATTAAGAAATTACTTTATGAAACAGTAAGAAAATATTATTAATATGGGAGTCTTTAAAAGCATAACAGAATATTTGTTCTGAATACCTTAAACCAGAGGTAAGCAAATTAGAGCTGAAGTCCAAACTCAGCAGCCACCGTTTTTATAAATAAAGTTTTATGGGAACACAGCCACACTCGTTAGTTTGCTCACTGTCCATGTCTATTTTGGCATCAGGAGGACAGAGCTGAGTAGCTGGTGACAGAGTCTGATTTCCCAGTTAGTCTGGAAGAAGGTGTGGAATTATTTCATAATGATAACAGGTTCTTTGTCAGTGCTTCCTGTTATTTATAGAGTTAGCTATATGACAGGCTCAGGTGATGATAGAAAACGGTAGGCAGAGAAACCTTGAGCCAGTTTTAAAAAGCTGAATTACAGACCCAACCCTAGACTTACTTAGAATCTGCATTTTAATGAGATCTCCATAAACATTTAAAAGCATACTCTGAGAATCGTCAATAAACATGTCCAGGAAAATAAGTTAAAAAAAAAAAAAAGATTCTTGTGGTAAGCAAAGAGAAAGCTTTCTCTAATTTATCCCTGAACACAGCTGTTACATCAACAATGGAATCATCACAACCCAAATCTGTATCACCACATCGACCTCAAGCCAAGATTCTGTCAGTCACTCCAATGGGATCAACACAGCAATATATCACAGCTTTGGAATTAGGTCAAATGTGAATGTTGACTCTGATATTTTCTAGAAATGTAATCGTGAAAAGTGTCTATACAAATCCAAAATAGAATTCACATTATTATTCTAACTCATCACTCGCAATTTTTGCTCTTGTTCTCTTTCACAATATTTTTCCTCAATTTTACAAACTTGTTCCCTCAGCTTTTGTTTTTCTCTTAATTATAATCTATTTAAAAAGAAGAAGAAAAAAAGAAGATAAAAAATATGAATATGCCTAGCTGGCATGGCTTAGTGGTTGAGCATAAACTTATGAACCAGGAGGTCACAGTTCGATTCCTGGTCAGGGCACATGCCCAGGTTGTGGGCCTGATCCCCAGTGTGCCCGTGTAGGAGGCAGCTGATCAATGATTCTCTCTCATCACTGATGTTTCTATCTCTCTCTCCCTCTCCCTTCCTCTCTGAAATCAATAAAAATATATTTTTTAAAAATATGAACAATAAAATGGTAATAAATACACATCTATCAATAATTGAATCTAAAAATCAAAATAAACGAACAAGGAATCTAATGAACCAAATAAACTGATGAGTAAAATAGAACCAGAGGCATGGAAGCATGGAACAGACTGACAAATCTCAGAGGAAAGTGGGGAGGGAGGGGCGGGAAGAGATAAACCAAAGAATTTACATTCATATATGCATTACCTAAGGACACAGACAATAGAGTGATGAAGGCCTGGGCTGGGGTGGGAACCGGGTGGAGGGAACAATGGGAGGAAAAATGAGGGGGACCTCTGTAATACTCTCAACAATAAAAAAAAAAAATTAATTATACACTGCATGGTTTTTTTGTATTTCAGAATATTTCCTTATTCAAATTACATACTTATTTCAAAATTATAACAGACAAGATTAGAAAGCATTTTCTGAAAACTATTACACGCAAGAGTGATAAAGGCAAAAATTAACTTATATCACATACTTGCTAAGTTTGGAATTACCTGAAAAATAGGTTAGAGCCTGACATAGCGCAGTTCTCCACAGATAAAATGAAGTACTGTGTTTTTTAATAGCAGAATAAAATAAAGATTCCATCTGTACCTATTTTATCAGCTAGTTTGAAGGGCAGCATAAGTATGACCCTCCTATCAATCATCCCCATGCAGATACTTTAAGGGAATGAAAACTAAATACAAGCAACAACTTCAAATTTCTCATCACATTAGCATAGAATAAAACTATAGTGCCACATGCCATTGTTTCTGGTTATTCAGAAAAATCACAAAGGGTCATACAAAGATAAAGGAAGTAATTTAAGAAAGCCATATAAATTAAAACTAATGTTAGAAAACAAAACATGCACTTCAAAAGGCTCTTTAAGTTTGTCACAACAAAAATGCATGTAGTGCTTCAATAATACTTTGTAAAAAGCTCCTTCCATTTGAGCTCATTTTGTTGTTGAAAACTCAAAGTGGCATGCTGAAAGGATAATTCACTCCTTCTACCTATTCTCCATCAGTCCTCCAACATCTACCATTCATTCACTTTGGCTTGCCACACTTTAAGTAAAAATTTATTATTTGGAGTAATTCACAGAAAATAAAGTGTAAACAAAAGAAATACTCATAATATGCACATCCATAGAAACAGAAAGTAAATAAGTGGTTGCTTAGGGTTGAGTGGATGGGTTAATAGAGAGGTTAGAGCTAAAGAATATGAGGTTTCTTTTGAAGTGATGAAAATGTTCTAAAATTGATTGTGTTAATGATTATGTACATTGTGAATATACTAAAAACTACTGATTTCTATACTTCAAGTGTGTGAATTGTGTGGTATGTGACATATCCTATATAATAAAAGGGTAATATGCAAATTGACCCTAACAGCAGAATGACTAGGAATGACTGGTCACTATGACACACACTGACCACCAGGGGGCAGATGCTCAATGCAGGAGCTGCCCCCTGGTGGTCAGTGCGCTCCCACAGGAGGAGCTCTGCTCAGCCACAAGCCAGGCTGATGGCTGCCAGCACAGCGGTGGTGGCAGGAGCCTCTCCTGCCTCCTCAGCAGCACTAAGGATGTCCTACTGCAACTTAGGCCTGCTCCCTGCTGGCAAGTGGACATCCCCCGAGGGCTGCCGTGCTACCAGAGGGATGTCTGACTGCCAGCTTAGCCCTGATCTCCCAGGGAGCGGGCCTAAGCCAGCAGGTGGACATCTCTCGAGGGGTCCCAGACTGCGAGAGGGCACATGCCGGGCTAAGAGACCCCCCGAAGTGCACAAATTTTTGTGCACTGGGCCTCTAGTCTATATATATAAAACCCTAATATGCAAATAGACCAAACAGCGGAACAACCGAACTGGTTGCTATGATGTGTGCTGACCACCAGGGGGCACACACAGAACATGGCGGGTGTCGGCCATGGCAGGATGGTGGAGCAGTTGAGTGGGGGCACCAGACCAAGGCAGGGCACCGGTCGCTGTCATTAGGGCGAGCCTCTGGTGGTTACTGAAAATTCTTTGCTCCTGCGTGCTGCAGTCATGCCCAGCACTCGCACCTGCTGCTGGCACCCAGCACCAGTCCTAATCACTCAGTGCTATCAGCGGGTGCAGCAGCAGCTGCCAGCCCCAACTGCCCCTGAGGGCTTCTCTACCTCCCCCTGCTCCTGAGGGGCAATCAGGGCAGCAGCACTCCTGGCACCAGCTGGCAGCGTTGGCCCAGCTTGCACCCACTGCTGGCACTGGCCCCAATTGCTCCACACTGTCAGCAGGTGCAAGCAGGGCCGGCGCCATCTGTGCGTGGGAACGGCAGCAGCGGGAGCAGGGGCTGTTGGCTGACACGGGACCCAGGGGCCATGGCGGGAGGGGCCAGGTGGGGGCATGGAGGATGGGCCAAGACCTACCCCTATGCCCACCGCAGCCTCGCAGCCCAGAGTTCCTTTCAAGGTGCACAAATTCATGCACTGGATCCCCAGTATCTCAATAAAAAAGAAAGAGTGGGGGCAGGAAAAAAAGGCAAACACTTACACATCTTATTACAAGAAAGGGAACCCTCAAAGCTGTGGGGAAAATGTTACTTTCAATAAAAAGTGCTGGTTCAATCAGATATCCCTGTAATGAAAAAAAAAGAATCTTGACCCCTACTTTATACTTTACTCAAAAAGCAATTCCATATCAAATGGAAATCTAAATATGAGAGGTTAAACAACGAAGCTTCTATCAGATAACACAGAAATATATCTCCATGGAGAAACTAAGATGGCGGCATAGATAAACACCAGGAAATTGCTGCCTCCCACAACAACTTCAAAAAAAACAACATAAAGACAAAATGGACATCATCCAGAACTACAGGAAAGCTGGCTGAGTGGAAATTCTACAACTAGAAGGGAAAAAAAAGCACACTGAGAGCCAGAGGAGCTGCGGAAGTAAAGTGCAGAGGTATGGAGGCTCGCGCGCGCGCGGAAAGGGGCTGGCACCTGAGGACGCGGCTGTCTTTTTGAATCGGGAGGGAGTCACAAACTCCCAACTGCTCTGAACTCCGGTTCCGGGAAGTCTCTGGGGACCCAGGACTCATACGGGGAGAAACTGGACTGTCTGGCAGCGGGCAGAACTCGGAACTCGAGGGCGGCTTTCCCTCAGAGGTGCTTGCAGCAATTACCAGGACACTGAGACGCGGGGCCCCTTAGGGCAGGGCTGAGAATCCGCCATAGCTGCTTGCTCCGCCCTTTGATTCCCTGAGACCCCGCCCCACCCAGGCTGCTGCAGAGGCTTTTGCATATGAATGCCCCGGCCCTTTGCAACCTGAAAATTACCTAACTGCAGCTGGGCCAGACAGACCCAGAACTTCCAAGAGAAGGCCCAAGGCCCCACAGCGGCTTGCATTGCTTCACAGCTGGGCCTCATCTGGGCACCTCCAAACTCCAAAAAAGGAAGGGGAATCTGCAGTTCTCTTCGTAGCTCCTGCTGTGTAACCTCAGGCAGAGGCTAAATTAGCACCTCCTTAGATCCAAGAGCCAGTGTACCCAGTGGTCAGAGGGGGACCATCCAGATTACTACTCCTCAGATCCATAAGGGACACACTCAGGGTGCAGTCTCAGTGAGCACCAAAACCCCACTGAAGCAAGTCTTGCCCCAGAAGGGTGTCTTCAGCACAGAAGTTCTCCCACTGCAGACACAGCTGATTCTCACTGCCAATTGGCCTGGAGGTCATTTCCTCCCAGTGATCCTACAACAATCAAGGCATAATTACAATAAGACTGTGCAAAAAGCCCACAAGGGGGTACCCCAAGAGTGTCCACCTCAGGTAATTGGGGAGGCTGAGCCACTGGGCCCTACAGGACACCTAGCACACAAAACCACTCTACCAACACAGGGAAGCATAAAAAATGCGGAGACAAAGAAACAGGTCACAAATGACAGAAATGGAGGAAAGGAAATGACTGGATATAGAGTTCAAGGCCACTTTTATAAGGTTTTTCAAGAATTTTATGGAAACCGCCGATAAATATAGTGAGATCCTCGATAAATCTAGTGAGACTCTCAAGGATATGAAAAAGGACCAACTAGAAATTAAGCATACACTGACTGAAATAAAGAATAATATACAGAGATCCAACAGCAGACAAGAGGATCCCAAGAATCAAGTCAAAGATTTGAAATATGAAGAAACAAAAAAGACCCAACCGAAAAAGAAAAAAGAAAAAAGATTCCAAAAATATGAAGATAGTGTAAGGAGCCTCTGGGACAACTTCAAGCGTACCAACATCAGAATTATAGGGGTACCAGAAGAAGAGAGAGGGCAAGATATTGAAAACCTATTTGAAGAAATAATGACAGAAAACTTCCCCTACCTGGTGAAAGAAATGGACTTACAAGTCCAGGAAGCGCAGAGAACCCCAAACAAAAGGAATCCAAAGAGGACCACACCAAGACACATCATAATTAAAATGCCAAGAGCAAAAGATAAAGAGAGAATCTTAAAAGCAGCAAGAGAAAGACAGTCAGTTACCTACAAGGGAGTACCCATACGACTGTCAGCTGATTTCTCAACAGAAACCATGCAGGCCAGAAGAGAGTGGCAAGAAATATTCAAAGTGATGAATAGCAAGAACCTACAACCAAGATTACTTTATCCAGCAAAGCTATCATTCAGAATAGAAGGTCAGATAAAGAGCTTCACGGATAAGAAAAAGCTAAAGGAGTTCATCACCACCAAACCAGCATTATATGAAATGCTGAAAGGTATTCTTTAAGAAGAGGAAGAAGAAAAAGGAACTCTTACCATTTGTCACAGCATTGATGGAACTGGAGAGCGGATAAATACCACATGATCTCACTCATTTGTGGAATATAATGAACAACATAAACTGATGAACAAGGACTGATCCAGAGATGGAGAGGCACTGATTGGACTGTCGGGCTTTGGAGGGAAGGTAGGGGAGGGGAGGGGTAAGGGGGAAAGATCAACCAAAGGACTTATATGCAAGCATATAGGCCTAACCAATGGACACGGACAACGGGGGGGTGAGGGCATGAGCGGGGGGTGGGGAGGGAGAGGGGGAGAGGCGGGTAGAGGGTAACGTGGGGATAAGGACACATATGTAATATCTTAATCAATAAAAAATATATTAAAAAAAAAAAGAAATATATCTTCATGACCTTGGGTATGCAAAAACGTCTTAAACAGGACACAAAAAAATCACTAGCCATTAAGAAAAATATTAATAAATTGAACTACATTAAAACTAAAGAGTGAAATAGTATGTGACAAAGTAGGAAAAAATAGTTGTGATGAGTATATATATAAAGAACTCATGTTCAGAATACATATACACCTATAAAATAAAATAAAAAAAATACTTCAGATACTTCTCCTGGAAAAAGATATACAAACTCCCAATAAGCATATGAAAAGGTATTCAACCACATTAATAAGCAAGAAAATATAAATTAAAACTATAGAATACCTAAATTTAGTCTAACAGAAACATGTCTGTGAAGATGTAGAACAGGTATTAGAGTATAAACTGGAATTTAAAACTTACTTCAGGAGTTCATAATTCTTTTCATTTAACCTTACAGCATTTTCTCTCCAAAATTTTTCAGATTTGTGCACAGGACTCCATTCCAATCTTCCAGATTTAAGTTCTGAACTGTATTCATCAAATGAGCTATAAAAATTTTTAAAGAATTCAGAGTTTATATAAACCTCAGCGATCCTCCAAATTAAGCACAATAACATCTTCATTAATGATTTAACTACAAAGACTGACCATCCTTTGTAAATTAACAAAATTCCACTACACAAAGTTTAAAGAGCTTAAATAAGCTTCATAAATTATGTGAAATTTATTCAGAGTATTCAGGTGCAGTACTATAAAATTTGAATGCTCATCATGAGATATTAAAAGGAGTACTTGCTTTCAGAATCCCTACCCTAATATATCTTCTATATATATAAAAGCCTAAGTGACCGAAAGACCAGTCAACCAGTCGACCGGTCACTATGATATGCACTGACCACCAGGGGGCAGATGCTCAAAGCAGGAGCTGCCCCCTGGTGGTCAGTGCGCTGCTCAGCTGACCAACGGGCACCAGACGCCAGGCTCACGGCTGGCAAGCACAGCTGTGGCAACACAAGTCTCTCCTGAATCCATGGCAGCGCTACCAAGTGGTGGCAGCAGCAGGTGCATTGGGCCGGGATGAGGCTCCCAGCCCAAGCTTGGGCTCCTTCCTGGCCACCTGCCACTTCGCACAGTACTACATCCCTTGGGTGATGTCAGACTGCCAGTTTCAGCCTGATCCCCACCTGAAATCGGCAGTCCGACATCCCCCTAGGGGTCCCAGATTGCAAGAGGGCACAGGTCAGGCTGAGGGACCCCACCAGCCCACGAATCTGTGCACCAGGCCTCTAGTGTATACATAAATGTATATCAGTAAAATATCTGATAAGCTAGCAGAGTTTCTATCTTGCCACTTAAAATACTGTATCTGTGCCCTGTATCTGTGCACTAGAGGCCCAGTGCACAAATTCATGCACAGGTAGGGTCCCTAGCGGCTGCCAGCTGCCGGCTGCCAGTCAGGGACTCCCTTTCCCAGCTGTTGGCTGCCAGCCAGGGCCTTCCTTCATTCCGGCCACCCCGTGGTGGTCAGCATACGTCATAGCGAGCGATCAAACTCCCGGTCAGTTGAACCGGGACACTCATTCAGTTGGAACATCATCCCATATACCAAAAGGTTGTGAGTTTGATTCCGGATCAGGGCACATACCTAGGTTGTATGTTTGATCCCCAGTTGGGGTGTCTATGGGAGGCAACCAATGTTTCTCTCTCACATCGATGTTTCTCTCTTTCTCTCCCTTCCTTTCACACATATACATACATACTGTATTTGCCAGACCACTAGATTCATTAATACAAATTTATGTAAAAGTATGTGACTTTAACATAAAATAAAATAGCATATTCTGATATTATTATACTACAAATGTCATAAACTACTATATTGCATTACAAAAACAAAAACACCTATCTGTACAACTAGAGGCCCAGTGCACAAATTCATGCACAGGTAGGGTCCCTAGCGGCTGCCAGCTGCCGGCTGCCAGTCAGGGACACCCTTTCCCAGCTGTTGGCTGCCGGCCAGGGCCTTCCTTCATTCCGCGCCACCTCATGGTGGTCAGCATACGTCATAGCGAGCGATCGAACCCCCGGTCAGTTGAACTCCCGAGGGGACACTTTGCATTTTAGGCTTTTATGTATATAGATATGCTACAATGTGATTACCAACAATGAAGAGGTAATTCTTTGGTTGAATTATCCCATTTTAGATGAATTAAAAACAAAAGTCTCTGTAAATATTATAAACTGCAATGCACTTTGTAAACATCATTCACTATGTATCAAGATACTTCATTATTCAATTAGCCAGCAGACAAACACAGTAACGAGACATGCCTCCATTTTCAAGTAAAAACTTTTAAAAGAAGTGGACATTTAATACCCAATGGTGATTTAGTATAACCAGAATTTACTAAATTTATTAGAGTGTCCTGTTTGAATAAGAATGTAATCCCAGTCAGTATAAGAAGTAAACTAGTATTGTTAACAATAATGTCCTAAACCTATAAGAGCAAAAACAGAAAAAAATCTTTCAACTGAACCCATCATCCTATTAGCTTTATGTAAATAGTAAGTTTTAAAATTTCCAAATTCAACATGAAAAATCAATAAGTAATAATTAGTAATGATTGACCCATATAAGTGTCAAACACTGAACACATTTACAATTAAATCCATCACAATCCTTTCTCACAGCCTGCTCCTGAGCACACCACAACAAACTCTCCATTCACTGGCCACCAAGACCACTTAGGATACTAAGAAAGTATGTTTCTTAAGTATTTCTCTAGTTTCTAGTCGGTCACCTTCCCCCCAACCCCCTCCAATCAACCGATAGGTGCAGAAAGGACAGCAATAAAGAACTCTCTTGCTTGAACAATTGTCAGAAAAGTTTTGACATTCAGGCAAAGTCCCTAGTTTTTCTCCTATGATTTTTCTATTTTTAAGAGTATTTATGAAAACAGCAAAGTAATCTACCATTAGATATTTACCATTAGCAATGTACATTAAATAATTTATAAAGCTAATTATCACTAGCATTTACTTTTTAAAAGGATCGTAAAGGATTTTTATAAAGAACTGATGATAAACTTTTATAAATAATCATAATAGAATTTATAAAACTGCAAGCCTATTGCTAGCCTATTGCTATTACAATCAACTTGTTCATATTTGAAATTATAGAAAGACAAAAACCATTTGCCTCCCTCCACAAAACTCCATTACAAACCACTGATGTGGGTGATACCTCCTCTCCCATCTCTATAAAAGCATTTGGGCATTGGGATTATGGGCTGCATTGAATTACCTGGTAAATAGGTTTCTAGAAAAATTACTATACTGAAGGCATCTGCTGAACACTTGAAACCTCACAACAATCCTACAAGGTTAGAATTTTATTGCTAAATTTACCAAAAGGAAAACTGAGATGTTAAAATGTCAAGAATACTGCTCAAGGTTACATGTGGAAAAAGTAGCCAAACAATTCAGACTAGAGTCAGCCTGGCTCCCAAACCCAGTCCAACTACAGAAAAAGATGTATTTCTTAAGAGTAACTCTTTTAAAAATGTATCAATAATTAAAAAACAAACACCTGGATTAATGTGAAAGATCAACAAGATATTAAACAACAACAACAAAAAAAAAACAAGGTCTAGAAGGATACGTAAAACCCCGTTTGTGTGTCTGTCTCGGTGTGTGTGCGCATGTGCGGGGGTAAGGGGCGTGGGAATAGGCTGGGAAGATGGTGGGAGTGGCATGGAGTCCCTTCTGTACTGTGTAAGCATTTTCTTTTTGTTTACTTCATGTAAATCATTTGCATAATGTTTAAAATAAAAAAAATAAACCAATAGGAACTTCAGAAAAGCAGGAAAAACCTACTTTCCATATGTGGACAAAAATCCTCCATAAATTAACAAGCATCACTACTCTAAAAAATTCTAAACCAGGGAGATATTCTTCAAGGTTTGCATGATAGTGCCAACCACCTGTGGTAGTACAGTCAGTCCAATTTTAAAAAGAAAATGATGGAACTCTCCCCAAACAGCTCTGACCAACTGTTACCATGGTGATGAGTCAGTTTTTCCATATTCTCCAAATATTTAATAGAAGACATAATATTTTAGTGAAATCTTTTGAGTTTATATTTAGTAACAAATTTAAATTTCCTTAAAAATACTAATCAAGTAAAACAAAACCCAATATATCCAGTCTGTGAGAATTAAAAATAACATACCTAAGATCCTGAACACTTTCCCCAAGTTTTTCCAAAAGAAATTTTATATCTTCACTGATGTCTTCATCATCATACTTTTGCTGTTCCAAGTTCTCCAACTGTTTCAGAACTTTGCACTGGATCATAGCCAAAGCATATTCTTGGCGAGTTTCTCTTTCAGCTGATTTTTCTAAAAAGTTCTGGGTTAGACAAAGATATAATAAGAAGCTATATAATTTGTTATGTGATATTCTCAGACCTCTGCACATCCTTTTTAACACCCTCTCTCCTCCTCCTCCTTCTCCTATTGACAGGTTAACTATCACCTTTAAGTGGATGACTGTATCGCAAATCCTTACTTCTTTCCTAAGCATCTGTCCATATCAGAAATGTACTTCTGATTCCTTGCTTACTTACTTGGCTTACTAAACATTTGAAATGACTGACCCATATAAGTGTCAAACACTGAACATATTTACAATTAAATCCATCACAATCCTTTCTCACAGCCTGCTCCTGAGCACACCACAACGAACTCTCCATTCACTGGCCACCAAGACCACTTAGGATACTAAGAAAGAATGTTTCTTCAATATTTCTCTAGTTTCCAGTCAGTCAACCCTCCCGCCCCCCAGCTCCAATCAACTGATAGGTGCAGAAAGGACAGCAATAAAGAACTCTCTTGCTTGAACAATTGTCAGAAAAGTTTTGATATTCAGGCAAAGTCCCTAGTTTTTCTCCTATGATTTTTCTATTTTTAAGAGTATTTATGAAAACAGCAAAGTAATCTAGATATTTATAAAGATCAAGTGTTCACTGAATCAACCAATATTTTTAAGCAAAGAACATGTTCAGGCCTAGGGACAAGAAAGAACAAGCTCTCAAGAAAGCTACCCTTCACCAATTGGTAAATGCCTGCCATTTAAAAAAAAAAAAAAAGCCTGTAATAATTAATTCCAAGTCAACTGTACTAAAATTTGAAATTTACTTATTTTTGTAAGCAAGTTATATTTCTATTAATTATGCCAAATAAACACAGAAAGAGATTTAGCTTAGCATATGGAAATTAGTGTGACTAATCCCTAATGAAATTACAACAGCATTTTTCACATATATTTGAAAAAACAATCCTAAAATTTATATGGAACCACGAAGACCTCAAATAGCCAAAGCAATCTTGGGAAAGAACAAGGAAGCTAAAGGCATCATGCTTCCAGATTTCAAACTAAACTACAAAGCTATAGTAATCAAAACTGTATGGCAATGGCATAAAACAGTCTCATAGAGTAATGGAACAGAATAGAGCACCTAGAAATAAGCCCCCACATATAAAGTCAACTAATATTTGACAAAGGAGTCAAGGATACTCCATTGAAATAGTTCTTCAATCAAAGGCACTAGGAAAACTGGATAACCACATGCAAAAAAAAAAAAAAAATGAAAGTAGACCACTATATTACACAGCTCACAATAATTCACTTAAAATTGATTAGAAACATGAAACTGTCAAACTCCTAGAAGAAAACACAGAAAAGGCTCCTGGCACTAGTCTTGACAATTTTTTGTTTAGAATACCAAAGTCACAGCAACAAAAGCAAAAATCAGCAAATAGAACTACATCAAACTAAAAGCTTCTACACAGCAAAAGAATAAAGTGAAAAAGCATCCTACAAAATGGGAGAAAATATCTGCAAACCATATATCTGATAAGTGGGTTAATACCCAGAATGTATAAAGAACTCATACAACCCAACAGAAAAAAAAACAAGGCAACTAAAAAATGGGCAGAGGATCTGAATAGATATTTTTCCAAAGAAGGCATTCAGATGGCCAAAAGGCTCATTAAAAGGTGCTTGACACCATTAAGCACCACAGAAATGCAAATCAAAAGCACAATGAGGGCTCTAACTGGTTTGGCTCAGTGGATAGAGCACCAGCCTGTGGCCTGAAGGGTCCCAGGTTCGATTCTGGTCAAGGACACATGCCTGGGTTGCGGGCTTGATCCCCAATAGGGGACATGCAGGAGGCAGCCAATCAATGATTCTCTCTCATCATTGATATTTCTATCTCTCTTTCCCTCTCCCTTCCTCTCTGAAATCAATAAAGATTTTTTTTTTTTTAAGCACAATGCAGTATCACCTCACACCTGTCAGAATGGCTATCATCAGAAAGACAAGAGATAACGAGTGTTGGGGAAGATTTGGAGAAAAGGGAGTACCAATGCTCTGCTAATGGTAATGTAAACTGGTTACAGCCACTATGGAAAACAGTACAGGGGTTCCTCAAAAAATTAAAATAGATCTACCAGTTGATACAGCAATTCCACCTCTGAGTATTTACTTGAAGAAGAGAAAAACAGTAACTTGAAAAGATAATATGCACCCTATGTTCATTGCAGTATTATTCACAATCTAAGATATGAAAACAATCTAAGTATCCATGTATAAAGAAAATTACTCAGGCATAAAAATGCAAGAAATCTTGCCATTTGCAAAAACATGGATGGACCTTTAGGGCATTATTCTAAGTGAAATAAGTCAGGCAGAGAAAAACAAATACTGTATGATCTCACTTATATGTGGAACCTAAAAACAAAACAAAAAATTTTGAAAAATGAACCCATAGGTATAAAAAATAGATTGATAATTGCAAGAAGAAGGAAGTGATAAGTGAGTGAAATGGGTGAAGGTGGTCAAAAGGTACAAACTTCCAATTATAAAATAAATAAGTTCTGTGGATGTAATGTACAGCATGGTAACGATAGTCAATTATACTGTACTAGAGGCCCAATGCACAAAATTCATGCAAGAGGCTCGGCCCTCACAGCTTCGGCTTTGTCCGGAAGGTCGTCCAGAAGGATGTTCGGCTGTCTGGTCTAATTAGCATATTAATCTTTTATTATTAGGGATTGTATATTTGAATGTTGCTAAGAAGGGCAAAACTCCTTATTCTTACCCTCCACCTCTCTCATGTTACCTTTACTCTTGTATATTATGATCACTGCCTTGCATTATTGATCATGACATTATATATTTACATATTCTGTCTTCACTAAACAACAAGCCCTTATGTGTAAAACTGTATCTTGGGCATTTGTGTTTCTTAACAATTAGCATAATGGAGCTGGAATATAAATGGGATTCAAAACTTGTTTGTGAATTTAACTGAACTCTAGCAATAGAATGAAACTGTCAGAAGATCCTATTTCTAAAATTTCACCTTTATTAAATAAATGAGAATATGGATAATGAAACATTCAAGTAGAAGAAAAAATATGTTCACCTTAGCTACTAAAAGAATTCAGAGTCTCATTAATACAACCTACTCTGATTTAAGGATTGATTACTGCTTTATCTGGTCGAGACTGAAATTTACCTCATGTAGACAGTTTGTAAAGAAACTAATGGTAGAGCCAATACACTACGGCAGAAGAGTAGAGAGGTACCACATTTACCTATTTCTTAAGAATAAACCTCTCAAAAGCCACAGAACAATTTTTATATGAAAAATATTACATTTTATAAATAAGGATAGTCAAAAACAAATATAATAGATAGAACAACACTTGGTCAACAGATGACTGGCATTTATCATATCTAGACATTCACACTTTCATTTCACTTTCCACTCTTTCAATGAAATTTACACTGAACTTCACTCCTCAATGCCTTTAGTCACTCATTCAACCCTTGTTAGGCAACTAGGAAAAACATGGAGTTCGATGCTTTCACAGCTGGTATTTTCAGCAAAGAAAATAGAATTCCTTGTCATATGACTCATAATTCTCCTTTTCATGTTTTTTTTCTCCTTTTTTGAGGTTCCTGAGAAAATGCCCCAAGAAAAGAGAAAAGAAGATGCCAGAGTGGTTAAAGATGGTTTGGAGCCAGACATATCTCACTGAAATTCTAATTCTATCACTTAGTAACTAAGGAATTAATCTCCAAGTCTTGGTTTCTTCATGCATAAAATAAAAAATAGTAATAGCACGTATTGGATTATCATAAAGATTAAATTAGGCATTGCACAAAAATCACTCAATAAATTATAACATTTATTATTCTCAATATCAAAGACAGGTTAGCATAGTGGCTAAGAGCATGAGTCAGACTGCCTGAGTCTGAATTCCAGCTCTGCTGCTTTCTGGCTCGTTTGGCAAATTATGTGACCTCTTGTGGCCTCATGCCCATTGCATGGGGCTCTTGGGGAGACTGAATGCGTAACACATTTAAAGCAATTAAAACAGTGCCTGACACTGAATAAACTCTCAATAAACATTAGTTATTACTATTATTATTAACTACAAACATCTAGAAAAGCTATTACACATCTATTTTAAAAATTAAAATGTGACAAATGCTATGAATTAGCAATTTATAGGAGGAATATAAATGCCTGATAAAAATATTAAAAGATGTTCAGCTTCACTCATTATTTTTTTTTTAATTGATTTTTTACAGAGAGAAAGGGAGAGAGATAGAGAGTCAGAAACATCGATGAGAGAGAAACATCGATCAGCCGCCTTCCGCACATCTCCTACTGGGATGTGCCCGCAACCAAGGTACATGCCCTTGACCGGAACCGAACCCGGGACCCCTCAGTCCGCAGGCCGACGCTCCATCCACTGAGCCAAACCGGTTTCGGCCTCACTCATTATTAACAGATATTAATTTAAAACAATAGTATCATTTTTTCACCTAATTTTTGTAACAACTGAAAGATTATATGAAATGCAAGGAAAAGAATGGAAAAACATGCATTCCCAATACATAGTTGAAAAAAATGTAAATTTGCACATTTTTGAAGGTGATTTAATATTATCTATCAAAACTGTAGAAAAGTATACTCTTTGGCTCAGCAATTCCATCTCTAGAACTATATCCAACAGAAATGCTCATCAGGAGCTCCAGTGGCGCAATCGGGTAGCGCGCGGTACTTATACAGAAATGCTCATCAAAGCAGGCAAATATATGTAGAAAAACCCTACATGCCCATCAACAGAACACTGGTTAAATAAACTGCTTTACATCAACACAGCAGAATATAGCCATTAAAAAGAAAACTGAAGATCTACACATACTCATTAGATATTGTTAAGAGTAAAGTTATAGAACAGTATTTATCATGACATTTTTATTTTTAAATACAAAACAAAATTACACACCTGTTTATATATTTATTTCTACATGCTTAGAAAAATTAGGAAGATATTAGTGATATCAGTTAAAAACAGATTCTGAAGCAATAGCTTGGATTTGCATGTCTACCACATATTTTATAGTTGCCTCAGAAATACTGCTAGTCAGCAGATCCAAAATCTGAAATACAATTCCATACCACAATAAGGGTTCCATAAGAGAAAAGCCTCAATCATAGTCTCTTAGAAAACACTGCAACAACAACAAAGATTTCCTTTTTTTATTGAGTTTACTGGGGTGATATTGAGTGTACAACTCAACAAAACATCTGCACACTGTATCATGCATCCATTGCCCAAAGTAAAGTCTCTTTCTGTTCCCCTTCATTCCCCCTTTACCCTTTTCCACCTCCCACACCCCCTTCTCTCTGGTTAGGCAATCACTATACTGTTGTCTGTATCTATGTGTTATACATTTTTAAAAAGGGACTTCCTATATATAAATTCAATGCTATTACATTTTCTTACAAGCATTATATAACTCATACATTTCATCCATTTAAATGTTTTCCTCCCACCTGTCCCATTCCCCCATGGCATAAATACAAATTAGTGGGGGGAGGGGGATTTATTCTATGTCCACCAAGATACCATAGTTTCATAACTACATGAAGAACAAGTAAGTTTTTCCAACCTGCTAAAAGCCCTGGAACATACTCCACAGTGAAAATGCCACACACATACACACCATAAAAAAATGCCACCAAACACTTACACGGAATGCTGCAAGGATGATTCTTGTCACTTTCTCTTTGACAGATTCTTGCAGGATATCGGATAGAACAGGAATGATATTATAGCGCCGCAGGTGCTCACACATTTGAGGACTGAACGCCAGGAGCCATATTGAAAAAATCATTTGATACTGGAGTTGAAAGCCACATTTGTTGCTCAAAACTCCCATTATGCTGAAAAGGAACACACATTAAAACATTTAATATGACAGTGTAACAAGAAAGAAGAAATAATTGACTATTCTTTTTGTACTAATGGAACAAAATTATGTCCTCAGTCTCTTTTCTGCGAGCAATAACAAGCAAGCTTGATTCCTACTCAGAGAGGATCATTTGCAGCACAGCTTCAGTTAAGTCTCTCCAAAAGTTACAGGACTGCAGGGAAGCAATGAGAAAGGAAACACCAACCTGTAATACAACAGCAGGAAGGGTAAAAAGAATCTGACAGACATTTAAAAAGCTAAAATCAACAGGATTGGTGACACAATGGATGTACATCTTGGTGAAGTCAGATGTTATATCAAGATTTGAGTCTGGATGACCAAGAGGATCATGTATAGCTTTAAAAATATTTAGGAAACTCAGAAAGAAAAGAAGGAGTTAGCTTGGCAAAAAACCCACTATGAGTCTAAATTTGACATAGCCAGTCACTGAGTTGGGGGGTTAGAACTTCAGAAGCTTCTAGTTCAACCTCCTATTTTACTGACATGAAAATTTGGAAAGCTAAATGGAAATGAATGAGGTTACACCAAGAAAGACCACTAAGGTAATTTCCATGGGGAATGCCTCATTCTCACAAGGAGGAACAGAAACCATCAAATTAGGCCAATAAAGAACGACCAGAATGTACAACACAAAGAATGAGTTCTAATGTAAACGACTGACCATGGTTAATAAGAATAGGTCATTATTGGTTCACCAATTAAAATAAATGTAGCGAGCTAACACAAGATGTTAAAATAGGGAAAACTATGGAAGGACAGGTATATATGGAAACTCTCTGCACTTTCAATTTTTCTGTCAATCTAAAACTGCTCTAAAAAATAAAAGTCTATTAATATAAATAAATTGTAAATCTGATTTTATAATCTATTACTACTAACTTACTGGAAGGTTCATATTTGCACCATTTCTCCATTTCTGTGATTTGTAAGCAGTTATAAATTGCTGAATTGCCTTTCATTTTCTCATGCATGATTCCTCCCTTGCGTCTTTTCTATTTTGGTTATTTAAGACTTGCATTTATTTAATATTAATATCAGTATTTCAACAGCTGTAAAATCATGCAATTTTATTCTATTAACACCCTAATATCTGGTTTCCTTTTCTCTCTGATTCTTCCAGTTATTAAGGTAAGCCTTCTACACTTTGTGATACTGTGGCTGAGACTTTAAGCCACATTTCTTCTTTACCAGCTGGTTCTGCCAGTAGAAGGTGCTAAAGGCTGACTACAGGATGGAGGAAGAAGGGAGTGTCTCCTGTTGGCTTCCTATTCTTGTGAATATTACTCAGCAGCATTTCTTCACCCTGGTAGCAACTGTTCTTTCCCATGGCAGCAGCTGAATTCATTTAGCAACAGGTCGGGCAGAACAAGCCTCACTGCGCACCCTCAGAGACATCAGCAACAACTGTCTGGATCCCCGACCTATGAGTCCTCTGCTTTGAGCTCAGGGGAACAAGCCTCAGATGAGTAGTACATCCCCCTCTATGGTCAAATGGGAGCTTTATTTGCCCCTCCTTGAAACATGTAAATTCAGTTATTACAACCTCTTACCTTTGTTCCCCAGCTTTAGGCGTATCTGCACTTGCTACCTTTCTGACTCTTGAGAGTCCTTTTATGTGCTTGTTTTCAGAAACCTATTTAACAAATGTATACCTAGTTAACACTTCTTCATATTGAATTACCTCTATTAAAATAAAAATTTTTAAATGAACAGAGGGGTTAAGGAGAGCTCAGGGCCAACAATATACTGCCGCTGAAAGCAAGACAGAAAGGTTTTAAAGGAGGCATGGTCAACAAAGATGAGCACCGCAAAGAAGTTGAAGAGAGTTTAAAATTGTCTACAACATATATAATTCTGTTGAAAAGAGAAGTCTTCTATATCCAAACATTAACCACAAGAAATACCCTAATGAAGCAACATAAAGCTCTTGTTCACCAAAATAAGGAAGGGGTTCCTTTAGGAGCAAGAGCCCTGACTGAATACAGTGGAGCATGAAGGGCATACTAAGGAGATGCAAAGGACACAAAGGCCCAAAGAAACCTAAACATAGTAATTTAACAAATACGTGGCATCAGACAGAGGGAACCAGGGCAACTCTGTCTTCCTGGGAGGCTGGTACCACACCTTCCCAGTGAATGAGCGCTCCTATTGTTAGCAGCCCAGCCTGAGCAGTTGGCTCAGGACTCTGACTGCTGGGTTAGCAGCAAGGGGGAGTGGTGCAGGTCTGGGATTTTGGCCCACACTGTGGAGTATGGAACCCACGCAAAGCTGGATGAACCTGCTCCTGCAGAGGAGACTGCAGGCTGTACTCAACCCAAACCTGCAGCCAGCCCCCTTAGTGGGGATTTGAGTTGGAGTCTCTGGCAGAAAATGAGGAGTCTGGCTTTGAAGCACAGAGTAGTTTACCCTCATGGAGTGCCTGACTGCATAATCTCTAAGCAGGGCACCAACGAGCCTGAGCTAGACTAGCCTGGATCCATCCTATAGACTCTCTTCGGAAGGCTCAGGAGGAAGACCAGGCAACCTTAAGGGGGAAGCAGAGGAGCTGACAGGTGGAGACTGACCTCAGGGAGCCTCGGCCCAACCACAAATCTACCCCCAGCTCTAAGCTAAAAGAAGCCGACCCAAATTGGAAAGGAGGAAGTAAAGCTGTCATTATTTCCAGATGACATAATATTGTACATAGAAAACCCTAAAGACTCTACCAAAAAACTACTGGATATAATCAATCAATTCAGCAAAGTTGCAGGATACAATATCTCGAAATCAATGGCATTTTTATACACCAATAATGAACTCTCAGAAAGAGAAATTCAAAAATCAATCCCATTTACCAATGCAACAACAACAGAAAGATACCTTGAAGTGGGTGGAGGTGGGCAAAGGGGGGCAAAAGGCAAGACACCTGCAATAATGTCAACATTAAAAAATTTTAATATAAATAAATAAAAAGTCTTAACATAAATGACCAACAATAAAAAATGCTTAAATTGTGGGGGAGGGGATGAGGGGGGGAACTGTCATTTTGTGCCTTTTATTCTCTCTTACCAGTCTTCCAAAGGGGGAAAAAAATAATATCTACTTTTTGTTTAACAGAATTAAATTCAATTTATTTTGCTATTACCACGCAGGTCTTTGAAACCTAAGACACAGTATGGGAGATTAGTGCTTTTATGTTGTCTATAATTTGAAGATTTGCTCTATTTCATCATCCTAGACAATATTTGATAAATATTCATTTATTATTCCAAACTACTGCTAAAAACAATTAACAGCTAAAATTATAAGAAAACTGAAGAATGAAATTGCCTCAGAAAATAATATCAATGGTGAGATAAAAATTATCCATTCTAATGTATTGGCAAAATATTGCATCATTTTTTAAAAAAGATAAACAGACTTGCCGAAACCGGTTTGGCTCAGTGGATAGAGCGTCAGCCTGCGGACTGAAAGGTCCCAGGTTCGATTCCGGTCAAGGGCATGTACCTGGGTTGCGGGCACGGTCCCAGTGGGGGATGTGCAGGAGGCAGCTGATCGATGTTTCTCTCTCATCGATGTTTCTAACTCTCTCTCTCTTTCCCTTCCTCTCTGTGGAAAATCAATAAAATATATTTAAAAATAAAAATAAAAATAAAAATAAAAAGATAAACAGACTGAAAACATCATCATTTTTGTCTACCTTTATTAACATCATCGTCCTGTGACTGCTATCCTTAAAAAGGTCTGCCTACAAAACTAGCTGGCCCTTGGCTGGCTTCTGGGAACTTGATGGTAAACAGTTCCCTACATGACACAAAACTTCTCCTAAATGATAAGGGTGGCTCACTGTGCCTAAAATGTTTTCACTAACAACCTGTTTACTATAGGCTGACACAGCACCAGGATTGTTCAGTCAACTTTTCTTACTCTGAAGCCTTGTTCACTAAGCAACCTTCTGTTGATAAACTAGCTTCCTATATAGGTTTTTCCAACGTGTGACAGAAACAATGTCTTCACTAACTTAAAAGAGTATTTGGTTTAAGAACAGTGAGTTGTCTCACTATGAATAAATAAATTGGCATTCTGGTAGTAAAAGGATTTCATTTGTTTTTTGGGGGGGTGGGGGGTTTGAGGGGTTCTTTGTAAAAATACATTTGTTAAACCTGAGAAAGTTCCTAAAAGTTTCTGGACCTGCAAATGAGGACCCCACAAAAAAAATGGACTAACTGTATAGCATTACAAAGAATGGCTTAAATTCACTCTTTTCTGCATTTTCTTTTATTAGTGATTTTTGCCTGCGTTTACCACAAGATACCTTTATGATTGCTTTTCTATTCTGAGTACCTGGAATTTGTTCTATCAAGAGAAGGTTTTTAGGAGTCCTTAACCTCTTATAATAGCACAGACCAAGCAAGGGAAAGGCGAAACAATCCATCTGGTAGTTATTAGTTATTGATTTCTCTGAAGGTTAGCATAATTCACTGTTAAACAGACATAAAAAAAAGTTAAATACTTCTTTTGGATGATTAATACTATTAATTTCTTTGCAAATGTCAAGGATAGATGCTTTTAAATGTTATTCTACATTAAAAGTAAAAGAGCACTCACCAGTTTACCCCATCTGCTTCTACCCAGGCAAAGCGGTACTCATTGACCCGAAGCATCAGCTGCAGACACCCGGCAACACACTGCACATACTGAGAGCTCTACGCAAGGAGAAGTACAAGGTTTTAAGATTAAAAAGCATTGCAAGTCATGAGACCATGCACATACAAAAAGTCTGGATTTTGTTTTTACCAGAGTTTCTTACCATTAGAACATTCAAAATCCCCTAATATTTTTTCAAAAGTCAATCCACATTTTTGCATTTCTCTCTGCCTTTTAGAAATAAAGCTGATCTTCTCTGCCAAATTAAATCTACACAGGTCAAGACTACTTAACATACATAGTTAGAGAAATGGAGGAATATAGTAATTATATCTTTGATATGGTTTGATAATTACTTTGCAATGTTTCATTTCCCAAGAACAGAGGCAATATATGGAGAATACTACTCTTCATAATTAGAGAAAGACCAAAAAACAATAAAATTAAAAAGATAAAAGTGTATACTTTGAGACAGGCCCATATTTGAATGATCTTTGTCAAGTTACTGAACTTTTTTTTTTTTAATTCTCACCCGAGGATATTTTTCCATTGATTTTGAGAGTGGAAGAGAGAGGGGGAAAGACAGAGAGAAACACATCAATAGGTTGCCTCCTAAGGAGGAGCCTGCAACCGAGGTATGTGCCCTTGACTGGAATTGAACCTGGGACCCTTTGGTCCACAGGCCGACACCCTATCCACTGAGCCAAACCAGCTAGGGCTACTGAACCTTTTCAATACTCGGTTTCTTCATCCTTAAAGAGGATGCCTACTCCAAGCAACTGAGAAAGTATTGTTAGAACTAATAAAGTAATTCATTTAGCATACAGCTAGACATTTCATAGAAACTCAATAAACAAGAACCTTAAAAAAACTATACAGCATATAAAAAGTCTAATTAAACACGTGAAAAAGACTCTATAATTTTTAAAAGCTGTTAGTTCAAAAGCAATGTCTTAGAGAAATTGTGGTTAAATCTGAAACTACAAATGAACAGGTATAATATCCCCAGGAATATATAGGCTCCTCCATTTTAGCAAAGCTAGTAGTGACATCTGGCTTGGGCTCTACCCTACATATTTACCGTGAGCCTTACATCTATAAGAAATGAAGAGACAAGAGATAATTTCAGATTCTAGCTTTAAAGAACATGCTAATAAATAATTTTTAAAAAGAAGAAGAAAAGGAAGGAGAGACTCATGGATGTTGTATAAATTCACTAATACACCAGTTCACAGTGTTTTAACTTAAACAACGTTTGTTAAAACCCAACACTTCAAAGAAATTCCAGGCACTCAAATACAAAAAACATAATGATAAAAGTGTATTTGGCAGATTAATCAAAAGTTATCAGAAAAGGTTATCTTAAATTTTTACCTAGCAAGTAGTGAACATAGTTGCCCAAAAGTACAATATACCCAGTAATATAATTTGTCTGATAACCCAAGACATTAGCAGAAATCAATGACCAAAATAATAGTGCATCTTCAGTTCTAAAACAATGTTCCCTAATGGAAAAAAAAAAAATGTTTATCTTCCAAATAAGTAAGCAGGTAATCCTCTGTGAAAGAGGAATTCCACCTTTCTTATTTAGAGAAGCAGACTTAGCAAGGTTTCTACATATCCTCAATTAAAAGGCAACTTAAGGTATTCTCTCCTCTTCCATTTAGCAACAATTCCTCTCAACACAAAAACTTCTTGGTTCATTATATGTCTTTCTTTTCTGTGTCCGTTTACCATACTTTTTGAAATACATGACAGATTTCAAATACAGACTCTTCGTTGTTATGTATAGCTTCAGGATTCATATTATAAATGAACATATAAAAGACACTGGTTCTAAAACTATGATCTCTCCTATTATACATTATGAAGTAATCCAAATACCATTCTAGAAATTACTTTCAAAGGATATAGTGATGGCAACACTGTTAAATGACTGAATTATTGCCTTCAATTAAACTAAGTAAATTGTATCACTTCTTTGTCTCTCACTTATATTGTCCCAGTAATCTCATGTATAAACTATTCAATATTTTTAAAGAAAGTAATCAGCCTTCAATCAATCCAACCAGTCACCATCTCTAATACTACACAACGGTAATATGATACTGCTGCAGAAAATTGTATAATCATGCAAAGCCATCAAGCAATTCTGGTCTGTTCTGCCATTCCCCAGAGTCACTGCCACTTATTCATCACTATCCTTCTGTCCTAGTCTCTGCCCTCACTCTCAGCAGTAAGAGAAAAAATAGGGACCATTAGTAAGAGATTCACTCAGCTATCAACATCTCATTCTCCAAACTGAACTTCATTATACGCATTGTTACTTCTCTCTCACCTAGGAGAAGGTAGACATCTTCCTGTCCAAGAACCACTGCCCCAGCAAGGTCTGTATCCCATTCCTCCCACATATGAATGATCCATCATTCAGACCCCTCTCCTGAATCTTCACTCTCTCTGTTTGATTGGTTTCCTTTCCTCAGCTTCTAAATATACTCAATTCTTACCCATTTTTATACTCTCCTTAAATCTTGTACCAGCCCTAACCGGTTTGGCTCAGTGAATAGAGCATCGGCCTGCGGACACAGGGGTCCCAGGTTCGATTCCGGTCAGGGGCATGTACCTTGGTTGCGGGCACATCCCCAGTGGGGAGTGTGCAGGAGGCAGCTGATTGATATTTCTCTCTCATCGATATTTCTAATTCTCTATCCCTCTCCCTTCCTCTCTGTAAAAAATCAATAAAATATATTTTTTTAAAAAAATCTTGTACCAATTTCTGCATCTTTTTCTTCCCAATACATGAAGGTTTCTTGAAAGAATTATCACCTAATCTTTACCTGTCTTATATCTTATCACCCTACTTAACATGGTAAATGTTAGGATCACCATTGACCTAAACCTGAGAACCAGATTTCTATCTACAACTACTTACTGGAAAGCTCTTTCCCCATTCTCCTCTCAACTTGAATTGACTCTGCAATTCAAGTCCTGCTGCTGCAAGTCCTAAATCAAATGTTTTCATTCCTCCACCATGAAAGAAAGTTGCAGTGTCACAATGCTGAAGAACACAGGCTCTGGAACCAGCCTATCACACTCACCCACTTACAAGGTATGTATGAGCTTCCTACCTATAGAATGGGGATAACAGGGGCAAATCTCCTGGGGTGTAGGGATACTTTCATTTGTTAATGTATGAGTTAATATCATATGATATTCAACAATTGTTTGCTGCTGCATCTACTATTATATTCTGATTTCTCCAGGTGGAATTAATTCCTTTCATGATGTCACATAAATCTCTATTCTTGCCCTTGGTGTGTGAGTGAGTGAGTGTGTGTGTGTGTGTGTGTGTGTGCGATCCCCATTACACCAGAGAGCAAAAGAGGAGTCTTTTTTAATCTCAGCACGTTAGCACAGTCCCTGGTAAATAACAGCACTTTAAAAATGCTTGTTTGCTAAGTAAATAATTAAATATTTATTGTACTTGATCTTATTTTCTATTTTGCCATTTGGCTTTAGAAGGAAAAAAAGGAGAACCTAACATTTTAAAATACCGGAGGGGCAAAAGTAGATTTACAGTTGTGAGTACACAAAACACAAAGTTTATTTTATTCTTGCATTATTATTAATTACTAGAGGCCTGGTGCACAGATTCGTACACCGGTGGGGTCCCTCGGCCTGGCCTGCACCCTCTCACAATCCGGGAGCCCTCGGGGGATGTCGGAGAGCCGGTTTCAGACCCACCAGTGCACGGATCTGTGCACCAGGCCTCTAGTATGCATATAAGATCCTTAGTTAATCTCTTACCACCCTCCCCCGTCCCCCCTTCCCTCTGAGATTCATCAGTCTGTTCCATGTTTCCATGCCTGTGCATTGTGCGTCTGCCCCCTGGTGGTCATTGTGTGTCATAGCTACCGGTCAAATGGTCACTTAGGCTTTTATATATAGAGATTGTATTATTTTCCATATGAACAACTGTAAACCTACTTTTCCCGACCCTGTATATTTTCTCCAAGTGAAGTCATTTTTGTTTTCTGCCTAGCAAGATAATTTTTTTTAAAAAGACAAAACATAGAAACCCCCAAATTCCATATTATCATTTCTCTTAATCTGATTTCCATGGTAATTACATATAAATGTACTACTGTCCTCCATATTGTTCAATACAATATTGTTCATACTCTAAATTAATCATTTCTTGCTGTATTAATTTTCTTTTTGCTGGAATTTCCTATGCTATTCGCAGACATTAATTTGAAAAGTACTCTATGAAAGAGCTATAAATATTAATAGGAAATCCTGAAATCTCATAGGACTTCAAACACAGACAAACCAAACAAGAACTGAGAAGTAGAAAAACAGTCTAACTTACAGGACAACATCAAGAACCACCAAACTGCCCAGCCTATGTGGCTTAGTGGTTGAGCAATGACCCATAAATCCGGAGGCCAATGTTCGATCCCAATTGGGCATATGCCCGGGCTGCAGGCTTCATCCCTAGTGAGGATAGTGCAGGAGGCAGCCAATCAATGGTTCTCTCTCATCATTGATGTTTCTCTCTCTCTCCCCCTTTCCTTTCCCCTCTGAAATCAATAAAAAAAAAAATTTTTTTTTTTAAAAGAAACACCAAACTGATGAGGTAGTATTTGTGGTGATGAAATATTGCACCTTCCAAACACAAAGTCACTGTACATAGCAAGCACTCAATAAATATCTCTTGAATGAATGAACAAAAAGAAATAAAACAAAGTTCATATCTTACGCTAATACCAAAGGAATGGGGCTCTAATAGATACAGTTTGATAATTACAAGTTTGACAAAAAAATTTATACTGATAATAATCAATACTGCAGCAATATATACAACATAGTACTATTATCCTCTTTCTTTTTGAAGCCCCAAATAAATCTGTTTTATAATTATAAATCTTATATAATTGTTTAGTTTTTTTAATTTAAGTCATCTAAATTTAAGAATTTACATAAATTCTTATGTAATCAATTTTGGCTATACCTTATGCCATCCTGTTTTACTAGAATATATTTATGGTAGCCGAAACCGGTTTGGCTCAGTGGACAGAGCGTCGGCTTGCGGACTGAAGGGTCCCAGGTTCGATTCCGGTCAAGGGCATGTACCTGGGTTGTGGGCACATCCCCAGTGGGAGATGTGCAGGAGGCAGCTGATCGATGTTTCTCTCTCATCGATGTTTCTAACTCTCTATCTCTCTCCCTTCCTCTCTGTAAAAAAATCAATAAAATATATTTAAAAAAGAAAAAATATATATATTTATGGTAAAAGAGTTCATTCAGCCAGATAATAGTGTCCATTTAAATTGCTAAAGTAATTCACTTATCTGGTGGGGGGGAAAAACTACCTGTATTTGGACTGACTTAACAAAAATATATACACATACATAAAAATGTATTAGTTAACTATTTGCCTTGTTTCCCAACTACTACTTGCTTAAATGTCATTCAACCATAGTTTTTCTTTGATGTAAAATTTTTCTGTTTTTTTTAATAATCAAATTGAATCTTATAACCCTCAATAACCAAAACACTGTCTAAACAAGAAAAAAAAAGAATTTGTTTTTGTAAAAACAATTAACATGTATATGATATTTTTCAGCATACTTTCAAACAAATTAAAAACTAAAATTTTTAATAAAGAACAAAAGGGAAATATTATGATAACCCCCCTTTTTTTAGATGAGGAACCCCAAGCTTAAAAGGTGATGTAATTGGCTGAAATTAAAATAGTGAGCTAATCTTGCATGGGCAATAGGAGTCCACTCTCTTCCTGCTTGAGCAGGAGCTCTCCGGGTGGCGCCAGACATCCCGGGTTTGAGAACTGGCCACCACGTGCACCCTTTTCAGCAAACTCCAATGGTAGAAAAAAACTATTTCTATTTCTCAGTACATTTAAGAAAATATCATTTGGGTAAACTTTCCAGTGTTGCTGGAAATGCAAACTCTCTTATATTACAGTGGAATAACCACTTCATAGGGAAAATAGCAACTGACAGAATTCACCTTCCTGGTGAATATGGTCTCAGAGAACCGTATTCTACAGAATTACAAGGGAATTCAAGAATTAAGGAATTACAAAGTTGGCAGGCAACAAAAGATAAACATAAAAAAACTTCAGTGACTTTGTACCAAAGGAAAACTAACGTTACAAAAATGTTTCAATGCTCATCTCCATAATGCTGGGATTTAAGTACAAACTAAATAAGAAAGAGTAAAGATAATATTCACCTAAATTTTGGAATTGTGGGCACTTGAAGAAATAAGTCTACACTGCAGTAAAAGACATCTGTCCCATAGAGAATTAATATGTACAGTATAGTGGTACCAGTGAAGCTCAAAATTGAACTTTTAAAACACTTAATTTACTCAAATAAATTCCAATAGTGAGGCTGTGCAGAAAGGCATACCAGCTTGCCCAAGATCATTCAGCTAATGAGTGGCAAAAACCTCAAAGAAACGAATTGCTTACTGAGAGAATTACTTTTGAGGCGACTGAACTGGAGTTGGATCTTTAGGCATTCCCATCTCATAGCCTATTCAGATTTGTGAAAACATCCACATTACCTCTTAAAATCCCTTTAGTTTTCAGAGAGCATAGACAAGCAGTTCGGTAAACTGCATTATAACCCAGCAATTCCATTCTAGAACTAAGTGCTCCAGACTATCTACAAATATAAATATAAATATATATATATATATAAATATCCATAGCAAAATTATTCAGAATAGTCAAAAACTAGAAGTAACCCAAATATCCATCAATAGAGAATGGATATTTATATAGCAATAAAATAGTATATTTTACGAATATACAGTATATTCGTTCATTTAACAGATTACTACATACCAATAAAAAGAATGAATTGCTACTAAATGCAACATGAATGAATCTCATTGACACAATCCTGGGCAAGAGAACTCAAACACATAAGACTTCATACTGCATGTGATTCCACTTACATGAAATTAAGATCAGACAAAACAAACAAATAAAAAATTCCCAGATTCTTTCTAAAGCCTCCAAATTTCTGAGAGATCATAGTATTCCTCTTAAGGAAATTCCACTTATGTAATAAAAATATTTGTAATAATCCACTCATAACTTAAGTTTCCAGGACAATTTTAAAAGTTAAGACTGTTAGGTCATATTTCTTTCTCATTTTGCAGTGTAAACCTTTTTTAATTTGTTCTATACTGACATCAAGTGGCGATAACATGTAATGCAGTTTACCGAACTGCTTGTCTATGCTCTCTGAAAACTAAAGGGATTTTAAGAGGTAATGTGGATGTTTTCACAAATCTGAATAGGCTATGAGACGGGAATGCCTAAAGATCCAACTCCAGTTCAGTCGCCTCAAAAGTAATTCTCTCAGTAAGCAATTCGTTTCTTTGAGGTTTTTGCCACTCATTAGCTGAATGATCTTGGGCAAGCTGGTATGCCTTTCTGCACAGCCTCACCATTTATATCCATAAAACATGGCTAATATTAAAACCTATATCAAACAAGGAGTGTAAAATATTCAAGAAGATGTAAATGTAAAATAACTAAAACAATGTCAGTAAAAGCTCAGTAAGTATTAGCTACCAATTCAGATTTCCCTATTAAAATATAAATATCAAAGGAAGGCTAACACACTACCCTGAACTTACTGAAGTTCATAGCCATTTGAAACAATAAGAACCTTAGGTAAAAGATAAAGAGTATGTTCAGGTTTGAAAGGTACTAAAGGGAAGAAAGTGGGAAATCAAAGGCCAACTTTTCCTTTCTCACAATTACCCCTCATGCCAATTACATGTACATGATTGAGTCTACTAGATAAATCACTTTGACTAATGCACAGTCAATTCAATTAATCAGTTTTGTTTTTCCAATAATTGGATAGAAAAAGCAAAATCAGAATTTCATGTCACCAGAACTTGCATTTCATCATCTAAGCTTTAATAACTTACACTTTAACAACCACTCAAATTAGTTTATAAGGCATGATTCTAAAAACACCTTTTTAAAAATCTACCAGTAAGTCTAATGCATAAGTTAAACATTTTTTCAAATTACAACTGGTAGAAAATTCAAGTCGGTAAAATAAAGATTCCCAATTTAAACATCTACTAATGGCTGAATACCCACCACTTCCCACCACCTTGGCCCCAAGATAACTCATCTAGTCCTACACCTTGTTCTGACTTCATTTCAGAAGGCTAATGGCCATTTTCTGGCCTAACACTCTATTTGATAAGTCCTTCAACCCGTGCCCCAAGAGAAGCCTCATCTCTGACTTTGAAAGTGGTTTCTGCTGCCATCTATAATCTCAGAGAATACCTACAGGTATGTTCCATGCAAAATATGAAGTTACAGTAATTAATATGGACATTCAATGTCTTCTACAAAGCTTCATTTAGGTCTCTCACAGGCAGGCTGTAGACACTATCCTCTAACGATGCTTTCCAGGTTTTCAGAGATGTTACCAACAAATGAAGCTAGATGCACTTCACCTACATTTCTAACTTTTGTCCCCTTATTTTTCTCTCAACTGGTTCCAATCATTCCAGCCCTATTGTCCAAACTTACTGCCAGTTTTGGTGCTATTCTGAGTACAATAAAGTTAAACCAATCCCAAATGGGGAAAATAGCTATAATCCAAAAGGAACTTGAGAAACATGATTAGTTTTAACTTTTAAGTTTTGGCTCTACAAAAATATGGGGAGAGATTTATCCCACAAAGGGGGGAAAGGGGTTCTGCCCACCATGTAGCCCCATATAAAGCTTTGAGCAACACAGTGCAAGCAGCAAGTTTTAGTGCATAAGGTTATTGAACTGTTTTCAACTGCTTGACGCAATGTTCACGCATCTATTAGAAAGATATTAGTTTATCAGACAACTGAAGCTTGAAGAGAGTAATGTTATGAGTATTTGCTCCAGCTGCATATCTGAATTCACTCTTGCTTTGATTCTCAGGTCTGACACAAAGTGGCCCAAGAAGAGCAACAGGGAAGCACAAGTCTCATGTGTACCCACAGAACAGTGCTCACCAGAGACCATAAATATTTAAAATACAGTGTTTACAATACCATTAACCTAACTGGAGGTGACATCAAACCCATGAATTTACATTTGGGGCACTGGTAAACATCTTCAAAATTTTAAATGTTTATGACTCAAAATAACTTAGATTCAGGGCGTTAGGAGGCTAGTGAATTAAGAAGGAATGTACTTACATCACTTGAAGAGACTGTTCCTGTTTCAACAGCACCACCGCTACCACGCAGTTTCTATTACAAAATAAATAACTTATTACTTAGTTTTGTTTTTAATTTTATCCTAATTTATCAGTGTATGAAAGGGAGCTAAGCAAATTTTATAATTTTTTTCCTAATCCTACTTAATGGAGTATCAACTAATAAAAAGAATGGGGATGATATGAAATATTCTAAATATCATAATACTCATCCATATAATATCTTAGTCAATATATTATAAAATATGGAACAATAGTAAGCTGAATACTAAGCTCCAACTAAATTTCATGAATGAAGCTGGCACAAATTTCCAAGTCTCAGGATTTACTTACTAAATTGTTTATCCAATAAGATAACTGTCTTAAGCTGAGCTATCCACCCTATATTCTGTGCCAAGTTTTTGAAATAGGTACCTAATGATGGGAAGATACCACACAGAACTTAAAATTCAGTTATCACAACAATGCTAACAAGTTACAATGAAAATCAAAATCTTACATGTTATATAAAAATGACCAAAGAAATTTTAAGGTAGAAAGTTAAAGGCTGAATATGCAAAAGAAAAGTGATAATAAATTTCATAAGGGAAATTTTATTTTGTTTTGTGCAATAACTATTATCTACTAAGTGTCATACCCCCATAACCAAGTATAATACTCCTAAATGTTGCTATAAATCAAAGAATAAAATATCCAAATTTGCAACTAATCTGGACTTTTGAAAATTTATTTCTATTAGAATCATAAAATGTGGTCCCTTTTTGAGAGAGAAAACACATTGAAGAAAAAGAGACCTTCCAGATATAGTGTTATCAAATGACATTTAAGCAAGGTAGAAAATAAAATCCCAAATAATCCTATGTTTCTTTCTTTTAACAAGTCTATAATTTAAATCTGATAAAACACTATGGAAGAGGTGGCTGCCCACAGTAACAGAGAGAGTGCCATCCAGGGCCTAGCAGAAGCACTGACCAGACTCTGCAAAGCAAAGCTAGATTGGGCCTGGGAACCCTGAAGAGTCACTCTGTAAGCAGAAGGACTTGCAAAGCAGAAATGCCATACCGTAAACAAAGCCAAAGATTCAGTGATAAAAAGAGTACTCTAGAAAGATACTGAAAAGGTCTTTATAAGAGCATTTATCTAACACCAATTCTAATGAAAACAGTTCTAGACATTGAAATATTTGCTCCCACTAGTGATAACAGACATATTTCCCACATGCCCTGGCTGGGTGGCTCAGTTAGTTGGAGAATCATCCCAATATGCCAACCTTACAGGTTTGATCCCCAGTCAAGGCACATGCATGAGTCCATCTAGTCAACCAATGAGTCAAATCAATATGTCTGTCTGTCTGTCTGTCTGTCTCTCTCTCTCTCTCGCGCTCTCTCTCTCAAGGCACATGCATGAGTCCACCTAAGTCAACCAATGAGTCAAATCAATCTCTCTCTCTCTCTCTCTCTCTCTCTCTCTCTCTCTCTCTCTCTCCCTCTCCCTCTGTCTCCCTCTCTCTTTCTCAAATCAATATGCATTCCCCATGAACACAGACAATAGTTTGTTTGGTGAAGACCAAAGGAGAGGGAGACAGGGGTGGGTGGATGTGGGCAAAGGGTGGGGGAGTAGGAGACACCTGCAATTGTGTCAACATTGAAATTTTTTAATAAAAAAAAAGAAAAAGAAAAAGAATTAAAACTGGGGGGGAAAAACATTTAAAGAAGGAAATATTCCCTCCCCCCAGTTGCTCAACAAGATTACAATCATAGTTAATCATTCCAAAAATGACTAATCGTCTGAGACACAATATAAATGTTATTCCTATGAAGAAAAGTCTAAGATGAAACAACCCAAAATGTGTAGTGGCAAACTACACATTTTTTCCTGCCAATTCTCATTTTATGAATCCAGCTACAATAGAACCCCATTACCACTATACCATAAAGCTAACACTAAAGCAGAATGAAGTTTGCTCAAAGAAAAAGTAAATTCAAATACAAAAGAAAAATGGGGATGTACCTATTTAACTAAGTATTCTGATCCCAAATGAAATATATCGAAAAAAACTGTAAAATATTTTCGTGTTCTAAATATCTTGGTTTTTTAAATGCCTCACAAACTCACTAAAATCTATATTTGTGGCTCTTGTAAAAATACTTTAAAAACTAAGCCAAAAAGTGTTAATATTTATGCTACTGACAAAAAAAAATTAAAGACACTCCAAAATAGCCCTATCCAAATATAAAGCAATTTGGCTCCCCCCAAAAGGCAGGCAATAAGTAAAAAAATCAATCTAAGCCAAATATCCTGGTGTCTCCCTTATGCTTCAACTTAAAACCTATTAAAATAATAGTTGCTGAAATCTAAATGTCAACTTTCCAAAAATGTATTTCAAATAGACATTTATTTGAACTCTAACACTTACAACACAATAGCAACCAATATTGCTTCTCCTGTATTACTTCTCCTGGCCCATTCCTTCATGTAAACCAGCCCAACACCCAAATCTCATTCTCTTCTACCTTTTCTTCCCCAGAATACTCCTCCCCTCCTTCATTTCACTCCTTTTCTGATGACCATTCCCACCAAGTCTCCCCCTTGCCACCTAATACTGGAAGCCTAAAAGAAACACTCCACTGAGCCATCATAAGTATCTAGTCTTTTGCCCTGTTCTAGGGAACTATGAAGACAAAAACAGAAAAGTTGTCGTTTTCCCAGCCATTAAGCCAGCAAGCTATTTCCTCCATGGGAAGTAGAGCTAGAGAGGTCTGAAAGCAACAAGACAGCCAATAAGCAGGCTTCATATTTAACCTTAGACCTAAATGTCCAATCCCACAAGGGTACAGTGAAATCCTGAGGAGTCACTGTGAGGCTATCTCACAGCTGGGCCAGCAGCTCCATGCTATCCCAGGAGTGCCTAGAAACCTGAATTGGACTCTTGGCCAGGACTAGAATGAGAGGATTGACTAATGATGTATAAAGTGCTGAAACTCCCTGGTGGCACCCAAAGCCAATGTGTTTATTGGTATAACTACTTAGTCAGCCTGATTAAGTGACTAAAAGGGCATGAAAGATCCCCTAGAAATATCTGGAGAGCTCTCCCAAAATCAAGATTTCTCCCACAGTTGGTGGTCCAGAGGCCTAAGACAGAGGTGCGTGCTGCCCCTGAAGGTCTCTCAGCCCCAAAGTTTGCCTGCACTCTCTCCGTGACGCAGCTTCTTTCCCTGTCACATAAGCCTTACAGGAGTATGCTCTTTGGAGTTGTGTGAATCCTCTCAATCCTCCGACCTGTGTGATCTTGGCAGCCACCTAGAAAGAAGGTACTTCCATCTAGAATGGAAAATCCCAAGTGGCAGAAAGGACAGAAAGGATGGAGCTGAAGCCAGTCAAAGAAAGAAAAAGTGAAGCAGAGTACCATACCTAAGAGTAGGCATTATTTTAATATATGACTCTTTTTGTCATTTCCCATAATTACCATAAATAGCTTGAGAGAGCATGGATGTTACATTCCTTGCAAAGATACTAAAAGAAATGTCTTTTACCTGTGAACTCAGCTGCGTTTTTATCCAATTGAAATAGTAATTTAAGTCACTGCCTTCCATCAATTCTTTTCCCCAAGCTGCTAACTTGGCAATAATTCTTGCTGCCTAAAAAACAAGAAATACAGTTGAATACTATATTGATTCTAAAAATCACATCATATACCTTAAAAACCAGGCCTTGTAACCATTTTGCTGTATTTTTTTAACACTCAACTCCTCCAAAAATAGTTTATATTTCATTTTTAAAAATGTGTCTTTAAATATAGTTAAAATGTATTTTCAAATATTTCCAATAATGTGAACCAAAATTAAATTAAAATTTTCATGACATTCTCTATATTATTCTGAGTTTCAAAAGTAAGAATGGGATTCATTATAAGACGAGCAAAAATCCAAAGAACACAGAAATCCTTCTAGCAGCAGACTCTCACCAAATCACCGGCCAGTCCTGAGCAATCTAGAACAAACTGCCAGCCAGTACCTTAAAAGCCTCTTGTGAGTTCTCACACTTAAAATCTTTATCTTGGTATAAAACTTATCCTAGTATTAAACAGCCATCTCTCTTGATATACAAAAATATAGCCTGTTTTCCTCATTCAAAGATTTCTCAATTTTCTTCAAGCTATAAAACCAATCATGAATTTTTTTATTAAATAGGTATGATAAGTATATGTGTGTCAAATCATTATGTTGTACACTTAAATACCTTATAATTTTATTTGTCAACTAGAGGCCCGGTGCACAAAAATTTGTGCACTCGGGGGGAGGGGGAGGGGGGGTCCCTCAGCCCGGCCTGTGCACTCTCGAAGTCTGGGACCCCTCGGGAGATAATGACCTGCTGGCTTAGGCCTGCTCCTGGGTGGCAGAGGGCAGGCCCAATCCCTAGGTGCAGCCCCTGGTCGGGCTCAGAGCAGGGCCGATTGGGGAGTTGGGGCGCCGCCCTCTATCACCCACAGAGCAGGGCCGATCAGGGGGTTGGGGTGCCGCCACTCTCACACTCAGGGCAGGGCCGATGGGGAGGTTATGGCTCTACCCCGTCACACACAGAGCAGGGCCCATGGCGGGGGGGGGGGGGTTGGGGGGGGGGCGCCGCACCCTGTCACACACAGAGCAGGGCCGATCAGGGGGTTTGAGCGCTGCCCCCTGTCACGCTGATCCCGGTGCCGGGAGGCCTCGCTGCTCCGCTGATCCCGGTGCTGGGAGGCATATTGCCCTTTTACTATATAGGGTAGAGGCCTGGTGCATGGGTGGGGGCCGGCTGGTTTGCCCTGAAGGGTGTCCTGGATCAGGGTGGGGGTCCCCACTGGGTGCCTGGCCAGCCTGGTGAGGGGATGATGGCTGTTTGCAGCTGGTCACACATCCTTCAGGGTGGGGGTCCCCACTGGGGTGCCTGGCCAGCCTGTGTGAGGGGATGATAGCTGTTTGCAGCTGGTCACACACCCTTTAGGGTGGGGATCCCCACTGGGGTGCCTGGCCAGTCTGGGTGAGGAGCTGAGGGCTGTTTTCAGGCTGGGGGTGAATGAAGCTCCCAACCGCTCCTTTTTTCCTTTTTTTTTTCTTTTTTATTCTGGGCCAGCTTTAGCTTTGAGGCTTGGCTCCAGCTCTTAGGCCTCTGCTGCTGAAAGTAGGTTTCTGGCCTTTGCTTTCAATGTTGCGATCCTGCTGGCTGAAGCCGGGCAGGTTTCTGGGGTTTTGTTTAGCTTCTATATTTGTTACATAGTTGCTTAGAGTTGCAGTTCAGAGGCCTGCAGCAGCAGGCGGGGAACGTTGGAGTCCTCCGTCACTGAAGCAAGCAAGCCTCATGTTAGTTTCAAGCTGCCTGGCTGCCGGCTGCCATCTTGGCTGACAGTTAATTTGCATATTGCCCTGATTAGCCAATGGGAAGGGTAGCGGTTGTACGCCAACTACCATGTTTCTCTTTTATTAGATAGGATTATACCTGAATAACTACACAATAAATCTGAATATATATATATGTATATGAACAAACAAAATAGGCAGTATTTTGGCAAATCCAATAGGCAAATCCAATTTTATATTTTTTTAGAACTTTCTGAAAGCAAGTCATTGTTTCAAAACTCCAATTATTCAGCGATAATTGATCCTAGTAGAAAACAGAAGACTAAGGTTAGCTAACTCCCAAGTAATTCCTATACTGATGGATTGATATTTGTTCTCATACTTGGATACAGCTGAGCCAGGTGATAGAGGAACGCTTTTAAGGCAGCAGGTCAAATATTCAAGTGTCATGCCATATCTGGAATTCTACACCATGGAGGGCTAACAGGAGTACCTCAACTAATTCACTAAGTTGACATACTGACATTTTCATGTGCCTATCTAAGTAAATTTACAGATACATTACCTATTTTAAACTGACTTAACTTCCACAAAATAGATAAGTGGCTTGAAAAGGTTCCTGTAAGGAAACCAGGAGTTGAAAATATAATCAGCAATGTAAACACAATCAAAATGGCAAAGACAAAGGGACAAGAGACCTGAGGATGCCTGGCTGGCGTGGCTCAGTGGTTGAGCATCGATCTATGAACCCGGCGGTCACAGTTCGATTCCTGGTCAGGGCACATGCCCAAGTTTTGGGCTCGATCCCCAGTAGGAGGAGTGCAGGAGGCAGCCGATCAATGATTCTCTCTCATCATTGATGTTTCAATCTCTCTCCCTCTCTGAAATTAATAAAAAATGTATTAAAAAAGAGAGAGAAAGACCTAAGGGTTCTATTCCTGGCATAAAGCTCCTTCATCTGCATGTGATAAACCAATAACAATCTGACCCTCAAAATTGTAAAGATTACCCAAAAGTAATTAAAATCATAAAGAAATTGAAACATGGATTTGGCTACACAATTAATAATGATGAACTTTACCCTAACTTTAGATTTGGTCTTCAAAATATTTGTCAATTTTATTATAAAACCATCAATATTAGGAAGATTTTTAAACCAGTATCCAGATAGTGAAACAAGCCTCTACAACTTGAAAAAATAAAATACATTATTTTTTAAAATTATTATTTATAATGTAGTTTATTTCATGAGTCCCCCTTTTTTATTTCTCTTGTCATTGTTAAAATATATACAATATATGAGTACATTTGTACAGAAATGAATATGGATATATAAGAAGAGAGAGAGAATTCATATGCTCAATATTGTTTCACTGACAGTGTTTTTGACTTGGAAAACTTAAAGGCATCTAATAAGATGAGCAACCTCAGGAGCCCTCCCACCCCATGGCTCACTCCACACTGAGAATAGAAAGGCTTGGTCAAAGACTTATTCTCTCAAGCCTCCTCTCATACATCTCCACATACTCCTTAAATAATTCTTCAATGTTAAGTTTAAAAAAGCATTGTATTCAAAAATGTTACAAAGCAATTAAGTAATTGCTTAATTAAAATAAAAATTAAAGCTTTACACAGTGGCAGTATCGTAGCCAATGAGGTTTATCGAGGTGCGATTATTGCTAATTGAAAAAATAAAAAATTAATTAATTAAAATTAAACACAATAGCTGCTTCAAAGCAAAATTTAGTTTCTAAAGTAAAATTCAGTTAATCCTGTCATAGATGTCCAGAGGCATTTGCACATCAATTACAAGGCTATTATTCTGACTCATCATTACACTCTACAAAACTTTAACTGTATCAAAGCAAACCTATCTTTTACTTTCCCCTTATCCCCACATTATTAAACACCAATAAGAAAACACTGCTTTGCAAAGTTATCACACCAATTACTCCTCTAGGAACTGGGGGATTATCAAGTCATAAATGGCCCAGGTGTGTTTCTTCCCTAAACCAGACATTTGATCAATTCAAATTTACCATATGAACAGTAAAGAGATCCTGGCGATTCAACATTGGCAGAAAGTAGGACCAGGCAGTGTTCTTGCTCCGTTTAGCATAGTCAAAAAAAATGCTAACACGCTGATGATTTTCCTAAAAAAGAAAAGGAATGATGTCACTAATCAGAATGTATTTTCCTAAAGAATGTGGCAACCATGCACTACTACTCAACCTTTCATTTTATATCCCATCAATTCGTTTGTTTTCTTTTTCCAGTGTGTATAAGATTTGCCTCCCTGAGGTTATTATTATGGGGCGGGGGAATATTGCTGGGGGCAGGGGTATTTTAAAAATAAAATCACCTTTAATTATTCTGATTAGTTTAATTCAAATGAGTCAAGACAGCAGACCCCAGCCCTGCAAAGTGTAGCATTCTAAGTTACTTTCTTCTGAGCCTGCACTGCTGACCTGACTTCCCCACTGTTATCTAGACCCCTCTACCCTGCTTCCACACAAACAAAACAGGAAGAGGGCAGAAACATCACAAGTTAGCTGTAGATGAAAGGATCGGCAGGAAGAATCTCATGCTATGTACAAGCAGGCAAGGGAAATGGGGTATTAGAGAAATCTCAAATGTGCAAAGTTACTCTTAGAATATCATGATAGAAAAATCAGGGCACATAAAGAGAGCCAAAAAAAAACAGTATTTCACACTAGCAAGTGGATTTAGGAATTGAGAAACAATTATTTCTTAGTTCAAATCATGCAAACTCTACCTCTCCCCTAAATTTTCTCTGCATATTATTGGCTAAAATATACTTTCTGGTTCACTGAGTGTGGTTTCTAAGTAGCAATATTTGGTAAAAGCACAAATAACCACACAAACAATCATTTTAATTTTCAGATCAGTATTTAATTCTTTTTAAACACCCTAATTTTAATTTTGGTCTGTGCTAACAGTTACCCCATTTGAGGGACAGACTACCATTCCTTAAATAATAAACATTATAATCTAGAATAACAATGAAAATGGTTATGCTGATGACTTTATGAAAGGAATCAAAATTCAGGTCATCATTAACTCCATTGGTAGATAATTTCCAAAGTTAAAATTTTAATTGTGCGTGTAAATGAACAAAGTACCTTACATACATAAAGAGCAGAAAATATTTTATACATTTTAAATAACTTTAAAACCCATCTTCCTCTACCAGTCTTTTGTGGTCTCAATTCCTGCTTAAAAATGTACTGCCAGCCTGGCCAGTGTAGCTCAGTGGTTGAGTATTGACCTATGAACCAGGAAGACACGGGTAAGGGCACATGCCTGGGTTGCAGGCTTGACCCCCAGTAGGGGGCGTGCAACGGTTCTCTCTCATCATCGATGTTTCTATCCTTCACTCCTTCTCCCTTCCTCACTCTGAAATCAATAAAAACATTTTTTTTAAAAAAAGAAACACCACAATGTATTTCCAGCCATCACTGTCCCAGGAGCCCTAGTTACAAACCTTTAAGAAAATATGGATAAAGCCCTTCTTCTCCAAGTACACATTTTTGTATTTTAAAAAAAAAAAAGAGAATATAAGAAAATACACATGTACCTACCTATTTTTGCAAAAAGGAAACGCAGGAAAAATAAACCAGAAATCTAGGATATTGGTTACCCACAAGAGATAGGTGGGAATGGGGTACAAGGGATGGGATAGGGGTTGGTGATATTTCTGAGTATACTTTTCTGTATATAGTTTTTAACTTCTGGAAGCATATTAATGTTTTACATAATCAAAAAAATAGTAAAATAAAATAAACAAGGATGAGAAAAAAACTAGAGCAGAATACAAATGAATCCAAATGTATTTAAAGAAAAATAATTTAACCACTCTGAACAAAACTTGAGCACAATACTCTGACCTACATACCTGCAGTTTAAAGATAAAATACTGCAAACAAACACTGAACTCTAGAAAAAGATTTTGTTTTTCACAGCTATATAAGTAAAAAAAAAAATTACTTTCTTTATATTATTGGGTAGAATAAATGAGTTAATAGATGGAGGATAAGAGGATCTCACAATCTCACTGTCAGAAGAGATTACAAGTATGGGAAAAAGAGGCAAGAATGAAGTATTGAGATAAAATGAAATTGGACAGAGTGTGAACTCATGGCTTTTAATTTATAGACATGTGGATAAGCATAAAAATTGAGGATATTTTTGTGTGTGCGTTTGTGTGGTGTGTGTGCATTTGTGTGGTGTGTGTGTGTGTGTGTGTGTGTGTGTGACATAAATAAAACCAAGGTCTGCATACAAACTCACAGCCTCCTCATTCTAGGTATAGTCCCATATAATAATCTGGATAGCCAAGGCAGACCACAACATTCCCCATTTTTCTTAACTTTACTTTTTAAAGGAAAAAGTGCTCAGAGGACCAAGGTCATTCTCAGACAGGCCTGCTTCACCCAAGGTTGGATATCAATTCTCACATTATAAAATCACTTCACTCCCAATAGATGACATGATGGACCATAGGTAGGCAGCACCATTCTTCCTAACCTTTGTATTCTCAATCTGTTAGTACAGTGCTTGGCACATAGTAGGCCATCAAAATATGCTTTTCCTTGTAAACTGACAGAACAGCCCCTAAGCAGCTAGACTGACACTCTTCTTCAAGTTTCCTAAGACATGAAGACAGGCATTGGATTTTACAGCCAGACAGCCTGTTTCAAAAAGAACTACTCTATATGCCAATAATCTAAACCTAGATTATACTCTGGTGTAAAATACAAAATTGTGAATAAAGGAGGCTCTTCTGTGTTCAGGGACAGTAGGCAGTAAGTAAAAACTTTATCCAACTAGAAAAGTCTCAGACGATTAGCAAAACGTCTTCAAAGGGACCACGCTTTTGAGGGCAAGAACCTTGCCTATAATCAGCACTGAAGACCCAGGGCCTCACACTGGCCTGGAACATAGGGGCATCAAAATCTGCTGAATGACTGAAAGAGAAGGACCCATATCATCTGTAATTACTCAGACATCCAAAAAGCCTCAGGTGACTCACCAAACATTACTAGTGCTCACAAAGAACTCAGAGGTGTTGCGGGAGGAAAAATGCCTACGGATTACTTCCTGTACTGAAAAACAACAAAAATAGCCTGTATTTTTCATCTTTCCCATCTTTATCACTCTTAGCAAATTACAACTCATATAACGAAGAAAAATATATTATTACATTCTAAAAGAGAACCACTGTTGTAAGTGAAAGCTTACAAAAATGCTGTCACTGTGCAGTACACAAAAAGGTGAAGTCACCAAATGTATTAAGTAAAGACTATACTTACCTGCAACATATCATCGACCATAGTTAATATGTACTGAACTGTCTGTTCTTTGGAGATATGAGTCATCAGGTTTATAAATGTTTTAGCACACTAGAAAAAATGAAATCAATGTTAATTATTGTCTTCAACTACAAACACAACATATTAATGAAATTTCAGTATAACATGGGGTGGGCAAAAGAATGTTTATAGTTGTTTGTATGGTAAATAATAAAATAATACAAGAATAAACTCTGTGTTTCACATATTCACAACTGTAAACCTACTTTTGCCAACCCCCTGTATTTTGCTTGTCTAAATTAGGGTACAAAAGCTATTCACTAACAGATTTCAATTACAAAAGCTGTATACCTTTCATAAATATTATGATGAGTTATAGGAAACCCATACTATGAATTGCATCAGATTTTTACTCATTTCTAGTGATAAATTTCAAAATGTTTACCATTTTTAAATAGACAGGCCTAGCCACTATCAACTCTTGATTACCCAAGACAACATAAAGATTAAGTTATGTAGACAACTAAATATTATTATTTTGGTGTTTACTAGGAAGCAGAACAACAAAGGTGCTGGGAATTGGAAACAGAAGGCTTTGACCTGTCTCCATTCTTCAAGTTATCAACTATGTAACAATCTCTCTGGAATTCAACAAACACTGGTACCAACAGCCCTGGCCAATTTGGCTCAGTGGATAGAGTGTCAGCTTGCGGACTGAAGGGTCCAGGGCACACCCCACCTCGGTTGCAGGCTCCAGCCCTGGTTGGGGTGTGTGTGGGAGGCAACCAATCGATGTGTCTTTCTCACATTGATGTTTCTCTCTCTCCCTCTCCCTCTCCCTCTCCCTCTCCCTCTCTCTCTCTCTTCCCCTCTTTCTAAAAATCAATGGAAAAATATCCTCACATGAGGATTAACCAATAAATAAATAAATAAATAAATAAATAAATAAATAAAACTGGTACCAACAATAGGTTCCTTCCCAAACTTCTCAGAAATTTGCATAACAAATTGTTGTGAGAATCAGACTGAGTTGTATATGCACTCCTTCAGCCAATCAAGGTCCCGTATCAGAAAATCTGATGGATTGTGGAATTGTTTATTATTCTAGTGAGAATACAAAGTAAAAATTTTTTTCTACAAAAAAGTTCAGGAACTTTAAAAGTATCATATACTTTGAAACAGTAATTTCCCTTCTAGAAATCTATTCTAAAAATATTTTCAGAAATGCAGAAAATGATAAAAGAATAAACATATTCAATATAACACTTGTTCCAAAATTAACAAAGAAAACTGGAAGTTACTCAAAAACTTTTCCAATAAAAAAGGATCTGTAGTTAAAATACGATGTGTACCTTCAATGGAATATCACGTACTCATTAAAAAACATTTCTAGCCGAAACCGGTTTGGCTCAGTGGATAGAGCGTCGGCCTGCGGACTGAAAAGTCCCAGGTTCGATTCCGGTCAAGGGCATGTACCTGGGTTGTGGGCATATCCCCAGTAGGAGATGTGCAGGAGGCAGCTGATCGATGTTTCTCTCTCATCGATGTTTCTAACTCTCTATCTCTCTCCCTTCCTCTCTGTAAAAAATCAATAAAATATATTTTTAAAAAAAAAACATTTCTAGAATTTTTAATGGCATGGGGAAGTTTTCACGATATAATGTTTACATCAATCACCTGACTGCCTTCACTTTGAAGCATTTCTTGCTTCTCCTCAGGACTTCTTTTCATTTCAAACCTTTGAATGAATTCACAATCTTCAGCAGAAATCATCTGTCCCCTAGAAAGTAAGAACAAGTTGTTTTTGTTCAGTAAGAGTTGAATAGCCACTATGAGGAATTTCAGTCTTTCTCCTCTCTCCTTAGTAGTAAACATGAGGATTGACACGTGGGCCCTGCCATCAAAGAGACCTGAGTTCAAAGCCCAGCTCCACCACTTACCGATCACGATCACGTGCCCTCTCTGGGAGTGAGTTAATTTACCTGCAAAATGGCAACAATAACCACATGGCTTTTAAGGAGTTGAACTGCAGAAGAAATTACACAATTCACATGGGGTGGTTAGTACAATGCCTGGCCCATAGTAATAACTTAATAACATGCCACATCTTCGCACTAACCAAAGCCTTACCTTTAGTCCCCTCCCAAGCCAAACAATTTACTTGGCCTTCTAATTCATCAAGACTAAGGATACTTTATATACACTTCTATGATAATTTTCTCCAGCAGACTCAGGAAAATGTGATCCTCCTCCTCTGGGAAAAAAATAACTTTTCCATCCTGACCCTTGTCCTCCAGCAATCACCCTACACTATCCTGTGTCCTCCTACTTTCAGGAGTCCCTTCTTCAATGGACCTTTACTCTTCAAGGTGTGCATTGAAGTTTCTATCTCTCCCTTCCTCTCTGAAATCAATACAAACATATTTTTTAAAAATTTTGTGAAACAGTATGTTACTTACCAAATATGTTACTCTCATTTCCAAACACTCATCTCCACCACTTTCCAACAAGTACTCTGCTCATTCATGACTGAATCAGCCAATATTAACTGGCAGCCTACTATGTGCCTAATACCTTTAATAACAGGCAACATAGTAATAAATTAGACATCCCTCTTTGTGCTTGCATTCCAGTGGGGAAAATATACAAAGGCAGAAATAAATACTTTTTTTAAAAACACACACACACACACACACACACACACACAACCATAATGCCAGAATTGTAAACACTATGAAAAAAACTAAGGCTGGTAAGAAGCTAGAAAATAACATATTTTAGTTGCATTTCAGAGAAGGCCTTTCTGAAGTCACCGGCACAGACAACTGAACGAACTGACTTAATGAGCCAAGTAATCTTGGGAGGAACTTCAGAGAGACAGAGTGCCAGTCCAAAGAGCTTGGAGCAGCAATTAGCTTGCTGTGTGAAAAAGAGCAAGAACGGCAGGGAAAGCTAGAGGGTTTGAGCAGTGTGACCTGATCTCATTAATATTTTTGAAATGACTCTCAGCTCACACCTTTGTAAAGAACTGCTGCTTTGGGAGAACAGTTGAAGCAGAGCCACCCACCGGTGAACTCTAACAAGAGAGCACATGAGACGTGATGACAGCCTGCACGAGGGTGGCAGCAGTGGAACGAGAGAAAGATGGTCAGATCCGGGACGTGTTTTGGATGTACGACTAAATGAATTTGTTAATGTATGGGATGTGGGTTGTTAGGAAAACAGAAGAGTCAAGATGACTCCTAGGTTTTTGACCTACGAAACAGGTGAATGCAGATGCCGCAAACTGGCCAGCAGCAGCCTGCAGGGAGCCATGCCAAACTACCGACAGCCCCAAGCACTGCAAGTTCTTCCAAGTCTCAGCTTCCTGCCTGGGTTTCCTCCACAGCAGGCCCCAGCTCCTCTGCTTAGACAACTCCTACAAGTATCTTGATGTGTTCTGTAAAGACGTCACCACTGCTCCCAGGACATTATGTGCTCCCTCTTTTCTTGTGTGAGAAAACTTTATATCTCTCCACTTTAATGCTTACCACATTTATTATTTAATTTTTTAGTTAAAAGTTTGTTTCTTTATTAAACTTTAACATGAAGAGGAAGGACAATATTTTATGATTCTCATATTCTCAGGATATAGTTTTACTGGATTCCAGTTTGACTGGAATATAGCCACACCTATTCCTTTATCAGTCAAACCTCAGTTCTCAAACATCTCCCATCTCGAACAATTCAGTTCTCAACCAAGTTGTTCATGGAAAAATGTCCCGGTTGTTGAACAAAACTTCGGTTCTCAACCCACCAACCCTCCGGTGACAAAGAAGAGAATGCATGAATATGAGTCAGTTTACTGCTACACCTCATGTTGCTAAAATCTCAGGAAATTGTCCTGTGAATATTTTCATGGTTTTTTGCTTTTGTTGCTGTTTATTATTATTAAATATAGTAAATCACCATGGGTCCTAAGAAGGTTAAGTTACAGCAGCGAAGTGAAAAGGAAAGTTGAGAGAATGATAGAGCTTTAAAAAGAAGTAATTGTGCCCTAACCAGTTTGGCTCAGTGGATAGAGCATCGGCCTGCAGACTGAAGGGTCCCAGGTTCGATTCTGGTAAAGGGCATGTACCTTGGTTGCGGGCACATCCCCATGTGCAGGAGGCAGCTGATCGATGTTTCTAACTCTCTCTCCCTCTCCCTTCCTCTCTGTAAAAAATCAATAAAGTATAAAAAAAAAAAAAGAAGTAATTGCAAAATATGATAGAAGTATCTGGCTACTAAGTGATCTGGCTACTAAGTATGGCAAGGTAAGATCTATGATTAGCACAATTTTAAAACATAAAGAGGCCATCAAGAGTGCTGATTTTGCTAAGGGTGTGAAAGTGCTCACGAAACAACAATCACAGGCAATTTAAGAGGTATAAAAATTGTTGTTGATTTGGATAAATGAAAAGCCGTTAGCCAGTGATAGCATTTCGAAGGCAATGATATGTGAAAAGGCAAAGATGCTGCATACAGACCTCCTGAAAGACACCCCTGAAACGAGTGCTGAAAGTGATTGGTTTAAGGCCAATAAATGTAAGAAAAGAGGTGGCATTCATAGTGTAATGAAGCATGGGGAGGCTGCCAGTTCTAACAAAGTAGCTGCTGCTAATTTCGTGACAGAATTTCAAGAATACGTAGAGGCCGAGGGATCTGTTCCCCAACAGGTGTTCAACTGTGATGAGACAGGCCTCTTCTGGAAGAAAACACCAAAGAAGACCTATATCACACAGGAGGAGAAGTCACTGCCAGGACATACGCCAGTGAAGGACCGGCTGATGTTACTGTTGTGTGGGGATGCAAGTGGGGACTTCAAAAGGAAGCCTCTACTCGCTTACCATTCTGAACACCCGTGAGTTTTCAAGAAAATGATGTCATGAAGAACAAGTTGAACGTGATATGGAGGGCTAATAGCACAGCCTGCGTAAACAGGCAATTTTTTAGTGAGTGGATTCATGAAGTGTTTGCCCAAGTGTGAAGAAATTCCTCTGGGAAAAACAATTGCCATTCCAGGCACTTCTTGTAACGGACAATGCTCCTGCCCATTTCGAGGCTTGGAGGCCACGCTGGTGGAAGAGGACAGCTTCATGACTGTGCTAGTGGAGCAAGGGGACAAAAGAGAGAAAGAACCCAGAGGAACAGCTACCTGGCGTCTTTACGAAAGGGGACTTCCCTCCCAAACAGTAACACCCCTCCGTCCCTCCTCTCCACATTCAGTCATCAACAGCTCTCAGCATTAAAGGTAAGTTCCAGTGTGTATGTAAATTTTCATTTTTTACTGCACACTTCATTTCCTTATTGTTAAATTTTCATTTATATTTCATGTCCTTTTTGTTTTTAAAGTGTTTATTTATAGATTAAACAGTACATTAGACATGTACTATATATAAGAAAGGTTAAAACAGGGAATCATTGGGATCTGGAGATTAATTCAATTTACATTATTTCTAATGGGAAAAAATGATTCCATTTTCAAATAAATAGCTTCTCGAATAGCCTTCCAGAATGAATTAAGTTTGAGAATCGAGGTTCCACTGTCTGTACTGTCTAGGTGAATGATAAAGAAAAGGTTGAGCCCTAACCGGTTTGGCTCAGGGGATAGAGCGTCGGCCTGCAGACTGAAGGGTCCCAGGTTCGATTCCGGTCAAGGGCATGTACTTTGGTTGCGGGCACATCCCCAGTGGGGGCGTGCTGGAGGCAGCTGATCGATGTTTCTCTCTCATCGATGTTTCTAACTCTGTATCCCTCTCCCTTCCTCTCTGTAAAAAATCAATAAAATATATTAAAAAAAAAAAAAAGAAAAAAAAAAAGAAAAGGTTGAGTCAAATATAAATACATTTTTTAAACACTGTATCTTCATAATAACATGTTAATTTGTGAGGGATGAAGCATTATCATATTATTATGGCCTCCTGACTTTGGGGAACTCTTCCACAGGTTTTATTTTATCAGAATATAATATGATATAAGATTCACTGATAATTCATACGTGTGTCCAGCCCCTATCAATCTGTAAGCTTTCACACCCACTGGTGTCCCCACAACCAACAGCTTGACAGCAGGCACACAGCTAACATTTGGTGAACATTTGTGCGCAGACATACAGAGCAGAGGAGTTTTAGAAAAGAAATTCATGAGATGGACAACTGAATAACCGACAGAAAATAGGAAAAAGGGAGAATCCAACTTATAAAGTATGGAGGCCTTGGAACAAGAGGAACAGAAGGGAAAGCAATTTAAAATCTCCATGTAACAAAAAATGTTCCAAATTCCAACGCTACACAACTTCTGCCAGTCAGCCAGTGCTTTATGATCAATAGCAATATTATTCTATTTAGGTTATAAACAGAATCAGGCTTTATAAACATGAAACTCCTTGCGCTCTAGTCTAAACGTACTCTGAAATAAAATTAGGACACAGAGCTCACAATCCTAATTTTACAGGGGATTTAAACAATTACACAGATATAGATGAATAAAGGAAACATCAGGAAGTCCCTCCTCCCGCTGCCCTGGAGTCTGTAGGCCTACAATAACCCACTCCCTTCCAGGAAGCCAGAAGTCAGCCTGGATTCTTCTTCATCCTCACACATCAAATTAATCACAAAGACTTTCTCAAATCTATCTAATTCTATGCATACCAACAACCCGAATACTGCCACAGCGTCTCCCTAGCTCTGGGCTTATTATCCCCAAATCTATCCTCTACATTGTCAGTAGAAAAATCCAACCAAAAGGTAAATCTGATCGTCTAACTCCCACTTTACACACTTCAGTTGTTTCTAATAACTACAACAGTGATTTTATTTTTAATATATTTTTGTTGTTTATAGAATTACAGATATCTCCCGTTTCCCCCTCTCCTTTACCCCCTTCCTCCCAACCCCTACCCACCCTCACAGATCTTCACTGCCCTAATTGCCGTGTCCATGGGCTATGCATATAAGTATGTAAGTTCTTTGCTTTTTCTCCTCTCTCCCTCTAACCCCACATTGAGGTAAGTCAGTCTGTTCCATGACCCCATGCTTCCGGTCTTATTTTGTTGGTCAATTCATTTTGTTCATTCGATTCCACAAATAAGTCTATTAAGTGTGGTCTCAAAAGATGACTCTGAGACATACACTCCTACCTCCATTCAACCATCACTTTCATCTGCATCTGTTTTACATGCTGAGCTTCCTTACTGAACTTCACATCAACCATGGATTTCACAGCTTAAGAATCAGCTTGAAAAGCACTGACGGAATCAAGTCCAAACTCCTTCTGATAGCACACAGGACCCTCCCGATTGGCTCCTGCTGCGTCTCCAGCCTCAGCTCCCCCCATAGCCTGTTGCCAAAACATGAATTATTCCCCACCCAGAATGCTATTTTTAATTCCCTACCTTTGAAAATCCCCTTCAGGAAAACTTCCTAGAGGAAGGATTAGCTGTTCTTTTTCTGTGCACTCATCATTTTCTGTGCACCTTTCTATTCCCTGTGCACCTTTCTATTATTGCAATTAATATACTGAATTAAAATAATGTTTAAATATCTGACTTCCCTAGTAAATTATGAGTTTAGCCCCAAAGCCCAGAAAAAATGCCTCAAACTTGGCAGTCAGTGAATAAATATTTGATAAGTGATGAGATTAACAGAACTAAACGGATCATTTTTGTACACTGTATATCCTTTCAATAAAGCAAACTGCTAAATATACTAGTAAACCTAAAGATCCCTCACATTACTTTTCAAAATGTATATGCAAATCTAAATTGAATTTCCTAATAACTCACTGTTATAAATATATCAAAATAAACAGATATGAAGTAAAGTCAATATGATAAAATATGGTCAAGAATAAATGAACACTTATGTTACAGATAATTATAGGACAACACCATGATAAATCTTAATATACACAAGAAGGAAGGGGAGAAACTGAAATTTACTGAAATTTATTCAACATACTAACGCTTGTATTCTACTGTGCTAGTACTTTAAATACAGTATTTCAGAAAAATAAAAACTTGGGGTATATGTATCCCCATTTCACATTCACTTTAATGGACCTCAGAGAAGAGAGTTGCCTAAGACCACCAAACTAGCACACAGAACCAGAAGGCCAACCCAGGTCTTGAGCTCAAACATCTACGCTTTTTACTAGCTGTATGCGCTATTCTGCAACACCATCTGTCCCCACACTGATCACCAAGGCACCCTGAGCCCGCAGCAGGCTCTGCACGTTATCCTCTTCCTCCCTCCATAGTCCATTAATGCTCATCCCATGGTTTCTCGCTCACTGAAAAAGCACAACTTTCCAGAGGTCAAAGGTGCCCTAAGCCGCTCTGCTCCTCACTAGAGCCGCAAGCTCTAAGAAGGAAGTGTGTTTTCTTCCACATTTATTAGTATTTTTCCAATATTTCTCTCACAGAAGCATGACCATGAAAAAGCCTGATGCAAAAGCACATGATTACCCATGATTCACAGCAAGTCCGTACTTACTGAAGATAGGACAGCCAGTTCACTTTGTTCGCGCGAACTTCTGCAGCCTTGGCAGCGATAATGTTGGTTGGAACAGCAGCATCCACGGCACCACGGATATCCATTTTGGTCATCTAAATTTTATGATCTTGTAAGTTTTCCAACAGATCTTCAATTCTGATGTAAGGTAAAACCAGAATACCAGGTGTTATTATTTTTTTAACAAGCACTACAATTGTTAATACTGATATCATCATTATCACCTTAACCTCTCCAGGCATTCAGCACATATATTACATCATTGTTAATATTATTATACTTCAAATCTTGTCCACCAATTATAAGCTGCTCCATAAAAGCGTTCTCTACAGGTCTGTACTTTTCCAGGAAAGGTTTTTCTTAATTATTGGCATGATGTTGCGGTCAGATTTGTAACGTAACCATTCAGGAAACTGACATCAGAAATCATGCTTAAATAGAACAGGCATACAAAATAGGAAAGTATTTTAATTGTACACAATTGGGATCAACTTTCCTCCTCTGACAGAAAAAAAAAAAGAACCTGCAAAGTACAGCTAGGATCAATTATTTTATTTACATTTACTAAGCATCATTTTTTTGCAATGACATATGAAAACCCTGGAAGTCCTTTCTTAAATTCTCATTCGAATTAAAATAACCAACGTGGGAATGCAATTTCTTAGACGATAGCGCTTGATTTTTTTCAACCGAAGTTCCTGGTATTTTCAAAATCAACTTTAGGAGACATTTTTGGAACAAATACCAATTACATCTTAGGTACAGCCAACAATGGGAGTCTAGTCTGACGACAAGAACCTACGATCATGAGCCTTTTAAGTAATTCTCACACCCAGACGAACAGATACAGGTTTAAGCCTGATTTTATCACGACACAAAACACTGCGGTTCCTTTTCATAAAACGTAAGCTCGCGCTTACATACAGAGAAGCTACCAGGACCCCGATGCCCTCAGTCAGCCTGGAACTTAATCTCTACATCTGAGAGCTGCTGCCTAAACAAGCAGGAGCGGGGTGGCCTGGCCGGGCCCAGGCACAAACTGGCTCCTTCCGGCCCAACCTGCGGCCCTGGACCAGGCGGCCCCGGCCCGGCGGCCCGTCCAGGGGAGGCTGCAGGTGCCTCCGCGCGGCCATCTAAGCCGCCGGACAGCTCGGACCTCCAGCGGGGCAGGGCGGCGGCCCATCCCGGGGCGCGCATACCTCTCATCCGTCCTCCTCCCCGCCCCTGCCCGCCCCTCGGGTTCCCGGCCCCCGCGGGGAAGGCTCTGCGGGTTCCTAAACCCGGCGCAGGCCCGAAAGGAAAGAAGCCGGGACCCCGGGACCCCGTTACCGGAGGGGGCGAAGGGCCTGGGCGGCGGGACAGCAGCGCGCCCCGGGGTCTCTGGGGAAGCCGCGGGGTCGCCTCGCTTGGGCAGGTGTCCCCCGAAACAAGCGGAGTGCGGCCTTACTGCGCGAACCCTGGGGAGCCCACAACGCACCCGAAGGCGGCTGGAGGCGGCGGCGGTCCGGGTATCGGGGCCCCGCCGAGCTAGGGCGCCGAGTCGGAGCCTCTCCGGCGGGTCCCGAGGCCTGAGCGACGGCGGGAGACTCGGGCGCCGGGGAGTGAAGAGGTTCCACCGCCGGGGAGACGTTGAGCGCAGCGCAGGCAGAAGGCAGCCGGGCGGCGGCAGTCGAATGACAGGAGTGTCGGTCACGTGAGCAGAGGCATGTGACCGCCCGGAAGGCGGAAGCCGGGAGGGTCCAAACCAGCCGCCGAGGGGCGGGCGCTTAGGAGGGACTTGCTGCGTTCAGGTCGCTGGACGCGAAGGGTCTAAGACAGGCTACTCCCCCCATCCCCCGCCCCACCCCCGCCGCCAGCCCGACTGGCCTGTCCCGAGGGAGGGCGTGTGGGGGACCCGAAACCCAGCAGGCCGCTCCGGTGCCAGGGTACCCGCTGGAGCCCGAGAACCAGGCCAAAACTCGTTTATCCTTTTTTTAATATATATATTTTTTTAATTGATTTTAGAGAGGAAAGGAAGAGAGAGACGGAAACATCAATGATAAGAATCATTGATTGGCTGCCTTCTGCACGCCCCACATCCAGGACCAAGCCTGAAACCCATGCAGAGCCTTGACCTGGAATCCAACTGTGACCTCCTGGTGGCAAAACTCGTTTATCTTAACCGTCATTCTTTTCAAAAGTTTATAATTCAGTGCCTTTAAATAGATTGACTTTAATTTGGATTTAACAGGTCAATGAAGCAGGGTATTGTATATGAAACTGATGCTGAGACGTGGGTCATAAAAGTTATCTTGCCCTGGGGTTGCAGGTTTACTAGTAGCCAACAATGTATGTTCCATGCAATATTTGCAATTATACTAAAAAAATAATGCGTGTTGCCTGGCCAGTGTGGCTTAGTTGGTTGGGCGTCCTCTCGTGCATTGGGAGGTTGCCAGCTTGATATCCAGTCAAAGGCACACGCCCTTTTTGTGGATACCTGGTAGGGGGCATGCAGGAGGCAGCCAATGGATGTTGGCTCTCACATTGATGTTTCTCTCTCCCTCTCCCTTCTCTCTTTAAAAATCAATAAACTGCGCTAGCCAGTTTGGCTCACTGGATAAAGCGTCGGCCTGGGGACTGAAGAGTCCCGGGTTCGATTCCGGTCAAGGGCATGTACCTTAGTTGCAGACACATCCCCAGTAGGGGGTGTGCAGGAGGCAGCTGATGGATGATTCTCTCTCATCAATGTTTCTAACTCTCTATCCCTCTCACTTCCTCTCTGTAAAAAAATCAATAAAATATATTTTTAAAAATCAAACTATTTTTTAAAAAATAATGATGATGATAATTGTTTGTCTTCCTTTTGTTATATAATATGAGTTCTTTATATATTTTGGAAAGTAATCCCTTATCTGTTGTATCATTGGCAAATATGTTCTCCCATACAGTGGGCTCCCTTTTCATTTTGTTGGCAGTTTCTTCTGCTGTGCAGAAGATTTTTATTTTGATGTAGCCACATTTGTTTATTTTTTTTTCCTTTGTTTCCCTTTCCCTAAGAGATGTTTCAGCAAACATATTGCTATGAGAGATGTCTGAGGTTTTGCAGCCTATGCTTTCTTTTTGGAGTATTTTAAAGCTGAAATATGCCATTGGTATTTTAATAGGGATTGAGTTGAAGCTATAGATTGCTTTGGGTAGTATGGGCATCTTAATGGTGTTAATTTTTCCAATCCATGAACAAATTCTTCTATTTGTCTATATCTGCCTCTATTTCTTTTTTCTATGGCCTGTAGAGTACAGGTCTTTTATCTCCTTAGTTAAATTTATTGCAAGGTATCTTTTTTGTTCTTGTTGTTGTAATGATAAATGAGATTTTTTAGTTTCTCTTTCTGAGAGTTCATTATTGGTGTATAAAAATGTCATCCATCGATTGCTGGATGTTAATTTTTTATCCTGCTACTTTGCCGAATTTATTTATTAAATCTAGTAGTTTTTTGGTGGAGCCTTTAGGATTTTTTATGTACAAGATCATGTCATCTGCAAATAATGACAGTTTCACTTCCTCCTTTCCAATTTGGATGCCTTTTATTTTTTCTTCTTGTCTGGTCACTATGGCTAGAACTTCCAGTACTATGTTGAATAAGAGTGGTGAAAGTGGCCGATACCGGTTTGGCTCAGTGGATAGAGCGTCGGCCTGCGGACTGAAAGGTCCCACGTTCGATTCCGGTCAAGGGCATGTACCTGGGTGGCGGGCATATCCCCAGTAGGAGATGTGCAGGAGGCAGCTGATCAATGTTTCTCTCTCATCGATGTTTCTAACTCTCTATCTCTCTCCCTTCCTCTCTGTAAAAAATCAATAAAATATATTTTTTAAAAAAAAAGAGTGGTGAAAGTGGACATCCCTGTCTTGTTCCTGTTTTTAAGTGAAATGCTTTTGCCCATTGAGTACAAATACAAAATATGATGTTACAAGCCAAATTTTACCTTAAATCATTAGATGACTGGTTACCTCATAAGAAATTCATTTTAACTAATTCTACATGACAAATATAAAGAGTGATAATCTCTGGCCTTAAGTTTGGGTATGAGTTTAGCATACATTTCTAGCCACAAATCTAACTGGTACTAAAATGATGTTTTAAGAAACCTAAATAGTTTAGGGGGACCATCCGCCCCTCAATCGCATAGCCCAAGATTGCCAAGTACTATTCCTTACCACACACTACTAGTACAGAATTCTGCCAAGCAATCTATTTCCTTTATCATTATATACTAAGCAATATATCACTTGAATCATTTCAGTTTTTGATTTAGGGTTAAATTTTAATTAATAATACATTACTACCTGTAGAGGGCAGTGCTAGCATACCTAGACATTCAAAATAGGAGGCCCTACCTGAAATAGAACACTACAGATCAGCTGAATAAGCTGCTGATCCATAAAACAGATAATCCTTTTGCTTGGATTTGTGTAACTTTGCGGGGCAGTCCCCAGGGGACTGAGAGAGAGCTCAGCATTAGCCAAATGAAGAGAAATAGAGGGGACCTTGGCTGGTGTTGTTGAAATCAGGCTACAGGACTCATTTGGAGCCTTTATTGTAAAACCATGACCAGGCTTTCCCAAGATAACCAAGAATGCCTCCAGAAACATTTCCGCAAGCCATCCATGTGGAAGCAATTTCTGCCCCTGCAGAGGGCTGAGGCATATAATGCAAACATTCACCAAACCACAGAAAAAGAAGGGGCCACCGAGGCTGTGTATGATATCAAGGTAAGACAATCTCCTCAATCCATGATCCTTTCTTGACAAGGAAAGAGTTTATCGATAAGGAATATAAAATCTAAGCAAGTTTTAGAGCCATTGCTGACTTTATCTTATTGATGTTATATCAAAATTGTTTTCAGATTTTTCAAGAGAAACCCTAAGAACCTTGATGATAATTACCTGATCTGTGCCATTTTCTCCAACCTAAACAACTCCCCTTTACCAAGACAAATGACTCTTTATGTTTTGTTTGTTTCCGGAGATAATGTTTTTAAAAAGCAGAATACTTTGACAAATCTTTATGTCTATTGCTATTAACCATTGAATGTTTTTCTCTGATATAAAGGTTATATCTCATATAGTAATAAAAGAAAAATTATAAACTGCTTTCTACAAAAATTGCTAGAGAAAAAAATTAGTATACTAAAGAAGGAACAAAAGAACATTAAGGCCCTAGCTGGTTTGGCTCTTCGAATTGAACCATCTCCGGTTCGATTCTGGCCAAGGGCACATGCCTGGGTTACAGGATTGATCCCCAGTGGGGGGCATGCAGGAGGCAGCCGATCAATGATTCTCTCTCATTATTGATGTTTCTATCTCTCCCTCTCCCTTCCTCTCTGAAATCAATTTAAAAAATTAAAAAATAAAGTAAGGTATATGTTTCTAAAAAAAAGAGCATTAAGGAGCAAAGGAGTGTTTTTCTTAAAATCACAGTTTCAAAAAGAGAATTCCCGCCGAAACCGGTTTGGCTCAGTGGATAGAGCGTCGGCCTGCGGACTGAAGGGTCCCGGGTTCGATTCCGGTCAGGGGCATGTACCTGGGTTGCGGGCACATCTCCAGTGGGAGATGTGCAGGAGGCAGCTGATCGATGTTTCTCTCTCATCGATGTTTCTCTCTCTCTCCCTTCCTCTCTGTAAAAAATCAATAAAATATATTTAAAAAAAAAAAAGAGAATTCCCTAAGAATGAATTTCTACCACTAGATAACATTGTCCCCAAAAAGAGACAATTTTCCTGCTTATTGTGGTATGTATCTTTGCAGAAAGTACCGATTACTAGTAGGTCTGTAAATCCTCTTCACTATTAATGGAATTATCTCTTAAAAGGTTATTTAGTGTGGTGGGAGATGGGCATGTGTTAATGTCTAACAAATAATGAGCAGAGCTCAGAATTAAGTGCTGCAAAATCATACTACAGCAAATCTGTCCAAATAACTGTAACACTAAAAAACTTATCTGTCCCTGTATCATGGCTCATACTCTAATTAAAGAATCACTTATTTGCTAACTCTTTAATTCTCTGGATCTGCCCTTTTCCTTCCATGTTATTTTAATTTTCATAAGAAGAATAAAAGTTTTTTATAATCATTAGGAAGATTTTTCTCTAGAACTGTACTGACTTGTGCTTCTGAGCTTTCAGACATATGTGAACAAATAACATATGAATATCCACACACCCCTTTTGTCACCTAAGCACAAGGTCTTCAGGAAATAGAATGAAATGGGATATCCTGGGCAGAAGTTCTTAAGGTAGAATTTGGAGGCTACTCTGAGGAAACAGACAGCAACAGGATATATATGTTATGAGTGTGTGCATGTATACTAGTATGTAAAAATATGTGGACACATATAATTTCAAACTTCTAACTGTCTTGAGGGATTTGCTCAAGCGGAATCATAGGCAAATGGATTGGGAAAGTATTTAAGAATCAGCAGTATATATGTTCATCGCAGCACAATTTACAATAGCTAAGATTTGGAAACAACCTAAGTGCCCATCAGCAGATGAGTGGATTAAAAAACTGGTACATCTACACAGTGGAATACTACGCTGCTATAAAAAAGAAGGAACTTTTACCATTTGCAACAGCATG